AAGCAAATCATATCAAGATAAGAGTCGTGATAAGGATATGAAGAAAGAAGATCATGTTGGAATTGCTCTCAAAATTTCAACTTCTGAAGATCCTATGGGAATGCTGGTAAGAGATTTTGCTGGATATCTGAAGCAAAGAGAAGATAGGATAAAGAATGGAGGAAGAAGTGATTCAGGTAGATCATCATCAAAGGTAAAATGCTATGAATGTAATGGATTTGGGCATATTCGGAAGGAATGCGCAAATTTGCAAAGGCAAAACAAGAAGAAGGATGAATCTGATACTGATTCAGATGATGGTGAGGAGTTGAAGAACTTAGTGGCGTTCACAACTTTTGATTCGTGTTCTAAGACAAGATCTGTGACGGGATCTGCATCAGCGTCTGCGTCAGGGTTTTCATGTGGAAGTGATTCTGGTGCTGAAAGTGATGATGATGGAGACTTTGATCTTGCTGAAAATTATGAAAAGCTGTATGAGCATTGGCTCAAGATGGTTGAGGCGAATTCAGAGTTGACTAAAGAGAAAGTCAAGCTAGAAACTCAAGTGGCTGAAGCACTTAAGTATGCCTCAGAGAAAGAAGAAGAAGCACTACAGGCTGGTGTTCAACTTTCAGAGACTCAGAAGGGTTTGAAGATGCTGAATAATGGAACAGATCAGTTGGATCATCTTCTCAGCATTGGGCAAAGTGATCGATGTGGTCTTGGATTCAAAGGTGAATCTTCTAAAGCTGAAGGTGTTTTTGTATCAGCAAGAAAAACTGAGGGTGTAGCTACGTCTGCTACAAAGCCAGAGGTTAAGGTGTGTGCTGGGAATGCAACAAATGGGAAGACTGCAGTGAAGGCTGCAACTTATGTGAAGAAGGCGACTGCTACGAGTACTGCTACAGCGACTGCTTCGGGTAATGTTTCTGATCCTAAGAGGGCATCTGAACAAAAGTTTCGGCCTATTTGTCATCACTGTGGTGTTGTTGGGCACATTAGGCCAAGGTGTTTCAAGTTGTTGAGGGAGAAGAATCAGATGGAGGAAGTTTATGGTATAAGGGGCCATGGTCCTATATGTTATTCTTGTGGAGTTCAAGGGCATATTAGACGTGATTGTTTCAGGTCTGTTCAAGGAGCTAATCATGGAGGTGTTATGCTCATGAATACGTGGCCAAGAAGATTTGATCATTATGGAGATGGTGGTATGGGATGTCATCCTCATTTTGGAGGATATCCATCTTCTTATTAGTTTTTGACCATGATGTGACTCATAGGGGGAGATTGAAGACAGTGATTTTCTATCCAGAGGTAATGAGTTCACATGCATAGTCAAAAAGGGGGAGATTGAAGATGTATATTCTGTGTTAGTTCGTGAAGTACTACATGAGGTAGTACATGCATGTATCATGAAGTTGGGCTAAGTTGGAGTTTGTGTTTTGTGATGTCCGTGAGCTTGTTAAGCTTGGAGAAGAGGTAATAAAGTTATTGGAATATTTACATTAAGTGTAAATGATATTATTTGAAGAGGAAAAGACAAGAGAGTTATTCCTTAAGAGAAAAAGGAAAGTTGCTTAAGTTGCTTTTGGAAGAATTTGAGGAGCAAGTTCGAGATACCTATACAAGGAGGACGTGCCTCCATTGGAAAAGGTGTCTCTGCTAACAATAAGAAAAAGTTGAGAGATCGTTTTGGTGTTGCTTGTGTGATCAAGCCTTTGGTGTCATTGCTGTGCGTTAGTTGCTGACGTAGTCGTTGACGTACTTCCGGAGTTCTGGAAAATTGAAGCCTAGACTCAGGGGGAGTTTAGCTCGGGGTTTGGAGGATCCTGATAATTAAAAGTCTAGATTCTAGGGTGAGTTTTAGCTTAGGATTGGTCTAATCCTAAAGGATTCTTGTAATAGAAAAGTTGGTGTAAGACTTTCTTGTTCTAGTGAATTCGAAAAGAGAAAACTTATCTTTTACTTTCTGCACTTTATTTGCTCTGCTCTCACTACATCAACACACTTATGATTGATTAGAGGAATTACTATCATTTTATACAAAATATGTAAACGTTATAACTTTTTAATTTGGCTTGAATACAAAGCATATCATTTTGTTGCAGGCCTGAGACAATATATCTACTTCTGCTGGTATGAAGTTCTACTTAAAGCACAACTTGAGATCGTTGATGATGCATCTATGGATACAAGGTTGAAATCGGAGAAAAGTAAATTGCAGAGAAGAAAAAGAACGAAGATGATGATGATGCAAGGTATGAGGGGAACTCATACATATAAAAATTGGATGATGATGGAATATATATATATATATATATATATAAAAGGGATACAATATACTGAACGACCGTTTGTTCCATATAAACAGCCAATGTGAAATTTTGTATTACAGAAACGATGGCGTCAGTGAAGTCGACCGTGTGTGGGGGCAACACAATTCTGCTCTCCTCGGTTTTTGGGTTTTTAGTATATACAAAAAGTTCTGAATATGTTGATTCTTCTCGTTTGCATATAGTTGTAATATTATGGAGTGATTTGGCGAGAAAACCAAAACTCTTCTTTAATAAACGATAGATGATCTCTGCAAATTAACTCAGTTAACAAGTGACCTATTTTATACAGTATGTGGTCAATTCTAAAAGTAAATTATGTTTCTATTTATATTTCCGAGAGAGGAAATTGTATGATTTATTCCATATATGATATTATGATTGGTGAACAAAGATAACAAGGGAACACAAATAGAGTTTTATTCTTAAGCGTAAGTTTAACTCAGATAATAGTCATAGTCTTGGACGAAGTCTTATGGAACTTTCTTGAACTCAACGTCAAATGTAGACGGAGCGTTTAAAGCCAAACGCGAAAGGCCCAGGTCGTCCACAGATAATCCCACGTCGGTGCAATCGTTACGGTCAATAATAGCGCCACTAATAGCGCCACAAATTCTGCGATAAAAACGTTCACTTCTCCTGATCCGGAACTGACCAGTAAACGGCTTAGGGCCAGTACTTATGAGCGACGTCACAGGGACCACAGGGGTCGTAGAGATACGCCAATAGGTTGGCTCAAAGCAGAGCGTGTCTTTGACGTCCATCTCAATGTTGAGGGGCTCGTCTTCGGGAACGAACTCATCGCCAGACTTCCAGTCTGAGAATTTGACGGGAATGCCATCGTTGTCCGCTGAACGTTCCAGTCCAACATACAAGGGGCAAATGTTGACACCAAAGGGGTTGAGAGCTAGGCCGCCACCTTCACGAGACCTAACGTAGTAACTGGCGTTGCCTAAGACAGGATTACCATCAGAATCGAGAATTGGTGTGCCGGCGTTTGCGGTCTCAGCCAAAACAGCTGTTAAGGCAAGAAGGAAGTAAAACATAGGATTCATCCTTTTTGAAAAAAGTTTATGTAGTTGATTAGATTTGAATGTTACTGGGTGAAGAAAATGTGAGTTCATTGATCGGTATTTATAGCACATACAGCTGGAAATTAGATATTTTCTTCCCTAAGTATTTGAAATATGTTATTTTCAATTAAATTTAATGGTATATAATATCACATTTTATGAGTTTTTGTCTGATTTGGTTTTAGATAAAAACACACCCTTTCAACATTCAATTAAGCCTAGTTGACAAAATTATAAATCTATTTCAATTATATTTAAATTGTGTGAAAATATTAAAATGTAAAGGGGAAGGAGACTTTGAATATTTAGATCTGTTTCTTTTCATCTAAAAGTTTTTATTGACAATATTGTTGAATAATAAACAGAAATTGCCAGAATCATCAAATAAAAAATAATTAATTCATGGTTATCAGAAAATACATTATTTTTACAGAACCGCAAAAATATATAATTTTTCTAACAAAAAATTAGAAGATGGCCAAAATATCTAGAAATATTCAATGTAAGTAGAATAAGATCTTAGAAAGTTAGGAACATTTGTATAATTACGGCGGTTCAAATTAACAATTACTATCATATAAAATTCATTTTAGATATTAATAGATTTGGAAATATCACAATCGTGTACCAAATCACCTCCATAATTATAAATAAGAATCAACTTGCCGTATACTATTAAGAAACCAAGCAGAAAAAAAGATGGGGGTTGTGGGCACTCTTTATAGGTTAAGTTGCTTTTTTACCTAAACCTACTTGGACTAGACTCTTTATTCACTTAAGGTGTGAATGTTTAGTGCAGTCCCTGCGGAATAGTGCATAAACCGTCGATTTGTTACAATTCAACCAAATTTTAATAATGTATCCAATCTATTAAAATAGAGTTTTATTTTTATCTACTGATAACAAGTCATTGTACTATTTCATTAGTAATTTTTATTATATTAAAATAATGTTCAGTATTAGATCATTTAAATAAAATATACCATCACATATAAAAATATTCTACTATAAATACCATTTATTTTTAAATATTTCTATTTAGCTCTAACACAATCTTATAAAATCTTTTGATTGCTAATTTTAAATAAATAATTAAACTCGTAATTACTATTAAAATATTCGAAATAAATATTTTTTATTTTTAAAAAAATATATATTTAAATTTTAAACTAAAAACAATAAATATTTTTTAATGATGTATTATTTAATTTAGAAAGTTAGACTATAAAAATTAGAAAAGGAAATTTAAGTTAAAAAAAATTTATAGAAAATACAACATTTTATATTATTTAGTTATGTGATTTCTTAGTTTACAGTTGATGATTCATGTTTGTAAATTAAATAAAAAAAATTTAGCTTATTTAAATTAGAAAATGATTAAAATAATTTTTGATCAATAAAATTTTTATAAAGAATCTAATTCTTTATCATTAGAAAACATCAATTTTTTTAATGAAGCGGGTTAAATAGATAAATTATTCTATTTTGCTTCTTATATAATTATATTTATTTTAAATTTATACAAAATATGAAAATACAAATAAATTATATATTAATATATTTTTCTTCATTAAAACTAAAAAGGTGAATAAAATTATAAAAAATTATATATTTAATAATATCCAACAAGACATGTTAAATTATATAATATAAAACACTAAACTGTAATAATTTATTTTTATCAATTTGTCATAAAAATTAAATATTAAAATTTATAAAAACTGAAAATATATCGTGCTGACGTGTGGGTTAAAATCTAGTTCTAACTAAAATAAAAAATATAAATACAAACGCACACAGTTTTTCGGTGAACATCTAAAAACAACAAGAGAACGAAAATGTGTGGTTAATTTTACTGTTTAGTTATTTATTTATTTATTTTTTCGTGTAGAATTTTAACAATTTTTTTTTATGTTTCCTACTTCCCTTGTTTATTATACCTCCTATTTTCTAAATAAGGTATAATAAATACTTATTATAATACTATTGACTTTTTACAAAATCTTATTAATTATTAAATACAATATTGTTGACTAATAAAACAAACTTGATGACAAAAAAATTGGTTATTCTTTTCACCTATCTCACAATATAATATGTTTACTGAATTTTTTTATTTAAAAAAACTATCGTCTTAGCCATCTCGTAGTTAGCTTCTTTTTTTTTTCTCGGCCTGATAATAATAATCTAAAAGAAGAATACAAAGTTTGATACATCAGCTGATCCACAGCAACAAACAGATGATGAGAACCCATAAACAGACGACTGAAACCCATACCGGGGCGTATTACAAGAACATATACAACTCCACATTACCTTATAAAAATTCAATCGAACTCACAAAGATACTAGTTCACCAAACTTGCAACAACCCAATAACTCAAGCTATGCTTATGAATGAGATTTACCATTATCTCCCATGGCCCACGATAACCTCATCCTCTACCGATATACTGAGAGCACTCCTCTCCAAACCAACAACCTAGAATTTATAACCCGGCAAGACCAAACCACTCTAAGGTCACACCATCTTTGTGATACGGCAGCGTCACACTTCGATAAAAGCCTGAACACTCCAATCTCAAAAAATTGGAGAAAACGAGGTCTAACCTGTCATAACCCACCAAAAACTCAAAAGATCGGCAACGATAGGAAAGTGTTCACAACAATACTATAACCCAAACACATTACAAGCTTAGGAAATAAGATATCATAAAAAGAACCATAAATTTCCGGGGAGATGAGGACAAAACACCATGACCATTCCACTAAATAAACCAAATAGATGAAGCTCTCTACAGCAAACACAACTAAAACTAAAAAAAAAGAGATTTAGGCAAAGAAGCTTGAATTGAGCTCGCAGACCGAGGAAAGTCGGATCTAAATCTGGATCGGAACATCTGTAGCAAAAACCAGCCACAGCCATCACTGCATATACGAACTTCAGCACAGAGGCTTCAGTATACGATGGATCCATGTGAAACGCGACGAACCACTCTAAGCCACAAACTCTCAAGCTCGTCAACCACAAATCTCAACAAAACAAACAAAAAGAAAGTACATAACATAAAAGGAGAGAAGCAGCGATAGATATCTTTTATTCAAACAAATTAACGGGTCAAAAAATCTCAAAAACTGTTTCAGGTTTAACTAGTCTGGGACACATAATAGTGCAAGAATTTTAACTTCAAGTTTAACTATTTTTTATTTAAACAAATTAATTGCCACAAAAAATCTTTACTTCTAAAAGCATCTTCAACCCAACTTCAAATCCTTATAAATTTTGATGTTTTTGTCATTCCAACCAAATTTTAAATTTTTAAATTTTGAGGTTTTGAATAGTGATATTTCAAATTTGAGCTTTCACTATTGAAAACCTCAAAACTAATACTTATTTTCCTTTTAACTCTTACAATTATTTTCTTTTCAAAATAAATCTATTAACTTTATTTTGAACACCTTACGTACACCAAAATAAAATAAAATAAAATAAATATTATATAACATTAATTTAAAATTCACAAAATAGGAAACATACATTAAATAAACCTCACGCAAAATAAAATTACATTAAACAAACTTAACATAAATTAAAACAAATTACATAACCATTTAATTTTTACATATCTAAAAAATGGTATTTTATATGTAATTTTAAAAAATTTGTTTGTATGTGTGCTATTTTATTATATATATAATTTATATCATTTTATTATATAAAGTGTAATATTGTGTGTTGTATAATATATTAAAAGTATATTTTATATGTATTTATGAAATTTTATCATTATTAATAATTTTGTTAATGTTAAAAACTATAATGTAAATAAATAAATTTTGAAATTCATAGTTGCAGTAATCAATTTTTAATTCCTTATTCTGAGATTTTGTTACTTTTAAAATAAATTTTTGAGTTGGAAATGTTCTAATATAAAAAAAATCAGACACGGCTCTGATTGGTGTGTGTTTAAAACGTATGGAAAACTTCACCACTCAGCAGTTACTGTAAAGCTTATCTTTTCGTGGGGTTGCCAACTTACCCATGCTTCAACTTACACGAAGCTAGTTATTGAGATCATACATATATTCAGTCTTTCATTTTCTCAAGAAAAAAACAATTAGCCACTTCAATCATGCGCTTATGTATAATAAAAAAATTATGAGTTGTGTCTATTCATTTGATTGTGTTAATTCATCTTAAAAATTACATTAAGAAGTTATCAAATTACATATACTGTATCTCTTTTCAACACCATCTCTAAAATATACTAATTTTAAAAATATAGTTTTTAATTAGTGTAAAAGAGTTAAACTATCCCAAAAAGTCAGTGTGAAAGGTTGTGTCTTTTCATTTTAAATTTTTATTAGTTTTTAAAATGTTTAGAGATGCATCTTTTTATAGTGGTGTGTTTTTCGCAATAAAAATATATACTTTCATAATAAAATGTTTTTCATCCTAAAAATACAATGATATATAATAGATTGTAAAATATGTAAATATATAGTTTTATCATCATAAAAATGTAGATTTTCAAGCTATAAAGTAATGGTTTTTAGAGATTATGAAATTTGTTAAAAATGCTTCTTATCATTTCGAGAATATGTTTTATTTTATAAGAATCCCAATAATGTTAAAAGTTGTGTTATGTTGTTTCATCCTAAAAGTTGCATTAATTGTTATGAAATTGTCAAGTTATATATGTGTCTTTTCAATATCATTTCTAAAATTTTTTGTTTGAAGAGTTGTGTCTTTTAATTATGCTTTAAAATATATATATTTTTAAGAGTTGTGTTTATTCATTTGTTTGTGTTGTTTCATCATAAAAGTTACATGAAGAAGTTATAAAATTACCTATATTTCTTTTCAACATCATCTCTATATATAATGTATTAGTTTTTTTTTAACAATTATATTTTTTCTTTATCTTGGAAAAAGAGTTAAAATATCCCCAAAAAATTAAATATGAAAAGGTTGTATCTTTTCATTTCAATTTTTGTCTACTTTATTAAAATAGAAATACCTGTAAAAACATCTCTTAGTTTTGCAACTTATTTATACTATAACGTCATTGGAGTTATAAATAATTTTTCCTTTAGTTAAAGTTGTCTTTTTTCTTAATAAATGCATTTCCTAATTCTAATTTTACCAAAAGATACGGAAACAACAACAAATGAAGATCAACATTAATTATAGTTTGCCATCACTCATTTAAGATGTTAATAAAAAATTTAGCCCAGGTACAAAGTACAAGTATAAAGAACTATTTTGCCTTAACTTAACTGCAATCTACAAGTTTACCTTCAATATACTCCATGTTCCTAAATAATCCATGTTCTAGACTTTTCATAAATATTAAGAAAACTCATTTAATTTTGATTGTAAATACATTATTTTTTGTGAATAACAATTTTCCATAACTTTTAACAAATAGCGTTCTAGGGAGTATATATTTATTATTAAAACTGAAATACATTTTGGTATTATAATAAAAATATTAGAATATATGATAATTGTTTGGAAATATAGATATTAGATTAAGTATTTTTTTTATTTGCACATTTAACCATTCTATTTATAATAAATTAAATATTTTCCTTTTGTATTGATTTTTATTTATAGATTCTACCCTTGCATTTAAAATAAATTTAAATTAATTAACTTCAATGATTTTTCTTTCTTTGTGGTGAAAATAAAAACACAAATTAAAATATACAGTATATATTATATAAAATATTTTTTAAATATACTCAAATATAAAATTTTGAGAGTTCAGTTTCAAGAAAACGAAATATCATAAATTAATGATAATTTATAGAAAACTAATGCAAACATTTAATTTTTAGTATCTTGTTTCATTTTAAAATAAATTAACAAAAACAACATGTTAATATATGAATAGTACAATTACATCAAATTGCATCAAGCTATAAATTTATAATATAATATTATGTACAAACAAAAAGTTATGATTAAATATTTATATTATAAAATAATATATTATACTCTATATGTATATTGCAAAACATAAAAAAATGTATATTTTTTTTATAAAATCAGTGGTTTATGAATTTACAAAGAACACAAGTTAAATTAAACATCCGCACGGGGGTGCTGGTCAAATTCTAGTATATTATTAAAACTGAAATATTTTTTGGTACCGTTTGGAAATAAAGATGATCAGATTAATGAAATTTGTTTGAAAATATAGATAACAGATTAAGTAGTTTCTTTTATTTTCACATTTAGCCATTGTATTTATAATAAATTAAATACCTTTCTTTTATATTTCATTTTATTTATAGATTTTACCATTATGTTTAAAATTAAATTAATTAATTACAATGATTTTTTTGTGGTGAAAATAAAAACACAAACTGATATATATATATATATATATATATATAGTATCTATTATATAAAATAATTTTTAATATAGTCAAATATAAAATTTTGAGAGTCAATTTTCAAGAAAACAAAATATCATAAAATTAATAATAACTCATAAAAAACTTATGCAAAAAATTAATTTTTAATATGTTGTTTTCATTTTAAAATAAATTAACAAAAATAACATGTTAATATACTAATAGTAGAGTTACATTATATTGCATCAAGTTATAAAACTTCTAATATAATATTATGTACAATTAAAAACATTATTATTAACATTTATAATATAAAATAATATTTTCTACTCTATATGTAAATTACAAAACATTAAAAGAATTTTTTTTTTTTTTTTTTTTATAAAATCAGTCGTTTATGAGTTCACGTTGAAAACAAATTAAATTAAACACCACAACAGGAGTGCGGGTCAAGTTCTAGTTGACATTAAGTTTTATCCCTCTTTAACACGCCATGTCATCAAATCGATCAACTTCAGCATGACACGTGTCTTCTAAATCAAACGTTGCGTTTCAGCAGAAGCAACATACAAGTGGGTCGTGTTATATATGTGTATGGGCTCTATGTATTATCATGTAACCCAGCCCGATAGCAAGTGACCTAAGCCTCTCAACTAGCGTGTGCTCCGATTTTAGGGTTCACCATGTTCCTTCTTCTCCGCCGTCTGAAAGCTTGAGATGATGTGGTCGGTGTGATGATTCCATTCGTAGGGTTTCGATCACGTTCTTTGAACTCCTTTTCCATCAATCGAAACTAAGTCAAGCCACTAAAAGATTCACATTAAACATCTTTTTAACTCCTCCAGGCGTAAATGTAAGTATATTTTTAGACTCTTGATAATCATTAGATAATTCCGGCGAACTGCTCTCTGTTCATTTTGCTCTTTTTTGTTACTAACCAGAGAGACGATGGTGTATTCGACAGTGATTTGTGAGACAAACTGTGATGATGATTCCATGGATCGAGCTGTCTTAGTGTCGTTTCATCTCCGTTTCATCTCCAATGTTATAGGAGGAATTTATTCACAGCCATTAGCAACGTTCTTAACTCCTCTGACCCACTGCAAAGATCATTGTGCAAGCCCAAAAGAGTAGAAGAAAGGTTGGTTGCTTTAAGTTGAAACTTCTACATTGAGTTTAATCTTATTCTATTGACGAACTTTTCAAACAAAAGTGATCTGAGTTTTCCTTTTGGCATTACAGTTGTTGCTTCTCAAGCTGTTTGGATGGTGGTATGGTGAATTTAACGAGGTCAAATAGGTTCACGTATGGATTAGGTACCACTCATGTTGCTGCTTTTTTTAATCTTGTGTTGTTGCTTATTTGATATGCACCCATGTACGGATGTTTGATTTAACTTGTGTTCAACATAAAATCATAAACCACTGATTTTATAAAACAATTTTTTTTATATTTTGTAATTTACATACAAAGTAGAATATACTATTTTATAATCAAATCTCTGCACATGGGTGCATATCAAATTCTCGACGGAGTTAAAGAAATGGTAAACAGTCAAACATACCATTTGGAAACGACTTTCCGATTTTATAGAGGAAACGATATACTCGCTAGTCTCTCTTGTATTACTCCGTTTCTAAAGCATCTGCATTGTTGAAGTTACAAGTAACCTTGGTCAAAATCTATTGGAATCAGTTGAGGGGTCCGGTTTTCCTCACTGCTAAATAGATCAGAACACCGGGTTACAAATCGTCTTGTGTTTTTTTGTTTACTGTCTGATCTCGATCACAAACCTGAAACATCAACAATCCTAAAATCAATCACAAGTTTAAGCAAAATAAAACCAAATCGAAGTTGGTCTAAGACTCTACAAAATATACATTAGATTGAAGTTTTCTTTATCCTTAACCTATAATCGTACTCTTCGACCAAATTGAATTATAGGTTTCGTTATCCATTAGTGGGCTCAAGTAAAAGCGCAAATCAAAAGCTAAGGCCCAATTGTAAATTCCTTTACCAAAAGAAGTTCTTCACGATCTTAAAAGTGGGGGTTTTTGATAGTTGAATAACACTTTTTTTTGTTGCTAAACATTTTGTTTTTTTTTTTCTTTTTTGGATCAAGAATAACACAATGGTTAAATTAGAATTTATAAATAACAAATGAATCATATTTTTTATATAAATTTCCAATCATGAAATTATGTTGAATTTACAAATTTATTGAAATAAACAAACCAGTAATCCCACAGAGAATCTATACGATCAGCCGTTTTTTACTTAATTTTATTAACGCCTGGAATTCTACAAGAACCTAAGCTAAACCGATTCTTGAATTTCAGATATAAACCGATAATTACACCAAAAAATGGAAGGAAGAGAACCTGCAAGATCTTGTTGAGAAGTGAGTGTTTTGTGCATCTCAACGAGACCTTTACAGATAGTGGCGTAGATAGCAATCTGTTTCCTCAGAGTTTCAAGCTGCTCGTCGGTAATCACCTTCACGTACATTCCTCCTCTATTAACGTCGATCCCCTGAAGATTAGAAGAGTGATGGTTATTGAGTTGCTGCTGATTGTCCCACTCCATCATCTCTTTTATCTGAACTTCGTCTCTTCTTCTCTATGTGTAATGTAAGGATTAGTACCAACAAAGATTTATATTTATATGAAATTGTATATTAGTGCCAAGAACAAAAACGACGACAAAATATTTCAATAAAACGGTAACATCAAGCTTAAGGAAACTATTTGAATCAGATGGTTATTTAGTTTCCTAAATTAGATATTGACCGTTTGTATTATGTGTATTTTACAGTTAAACGATTACTTCCATATATGGTAGTGAATATACAATGGAAGATTGACTTGTGGGATGTGTAAAAGGCCTAGTGTATATGCATTTCAATGCAAAATTTAAGAAACTGAAAAAAAAAAATTAGAGAAAAAAATGATGATGTGATATTTGATGATGGTAGTGAAAATACAATGGAAGATTGGCTTGTGGGATGTGTAAAAGGCATAGATAATGATCTTAACTTGATTTTCGTTACCCAACCCAAGCTCTAAGGATAAGAAATCTATATGATGATGAATTTGAATCTGAAGAAAAGAGGAAGATGATCAATATGTTCCTCTCTTCACTGAATTACAAACTGCTTAGTAAGGTCAGTAAGATATAGTTGTGTCTTTGGTCTCTGTTGTTGTTGTTGTTGTTGTTGTTGTTGTATGTCTTTGTATTTGTCATCGTCTTAGTTTCTAACTTGATCGTCTGTTTCAAATTGATTTGAATATTTATGTTTATATGTAGGTGTATGTTACAAGAGGTAACTCCCAACACATTTTCTCTATGGTGATTATTTGGGTTTTTGATGGCGAAAAAGATGAAGATCTGCAATCTTATTATGATTTTTATATATGATGTTTCAGGATTTAAATATATATTTCTGTTTATCTCATAAATTCAAAATTATCTTCTTGTTTTTGAATCAGATGTTAAATGTTTTGTGGTAAAAGGTCTCCGTACATCTATAAATTTTCCTTAATTTTTCTTTTCTCTTGTATTCTATAGATGAATACTCCCTCTGTTTCAATATAAGTGTTACTCTACAGCTATGCACACGAATTAAGGAAACAATTAATTTTACATATTTCCTATATAAAAACACAATTACCCATACACCTAACCATATTTTAACCAATAGAAAAATAAATTACATAATAAAATTAATAAATTTTGCATTGAAAACCGAAAACGACACTTATTTTGTAACACAAAAAATTCTCTACAACGACACTTAATATAAAACGGAGGGAGTATGTTTTACATTAAATCGTATAAAAACTAAGTTTTGAATACTTTTTGATTATTCTCCAATTTTTGGTTGATTCACTAAGTAATCAATTGAGACATGACTCCAATTACAGAATAATTAATATTAGTGTTTGTTGAATTAATAATATTATGGGTTCACCATTTATAATTAAAATATTAAAGATTGGTGTCTGGTGAACTCAATCCTAAATAACATAGTACTACTGTATATCTTAAGCATTATTCATGCCCTGGACCGTTTTAATGTCCCCTCTTGAAAACATATCTATGGATTCACACTCTCGATCCTCAAAGATTTGATTAGAGGAATTAATATTATTTTATACAAAATATGTAAACGTTATAACTTTTTATTTGGCTTGAATACAAAGCTTCTTCTTTTTTGTAACAAACTTGAATACAAAGCATAATATTTTTTCCAGACCTAAATTTGCTGTTCTTTTTTAACGCTTACTATTCATTCTAATATAATATTCATACCAAATTGGTAGTACATAGATGCAGAAATACACCAGAACAAAAAAACAAAAGAAACCTTAACTATTGAAAATAGATCAATACCAATAGGTACCTAAAATTGCTGTTATCAAACCTAGCTAGGTGGTCCATTACAATTTGCAATTAATCAAAGAAAAGGAACAAAAAAAAGGTCTTCACATGACAACAAATATGTCAACGACCGTCCCACACTTCTTACAAACGCGAAAGACTCAAACCCACGGGGAAGTAAGATACAATGATTGGAGCTCTAAGAGATTCAAATTTGCTTTTTGGCTTCTCCGACGACAAGCTTTTCGCGATGCTACCTTCGACTGAACTAATCTTTGAGCTGGATTTTGGAACAAAGCAACTTAAGAAAGACGTGAAGAGAGACATGATTGGAGTTTAAAAGAATAACGTATGTGGAATCTGTACGATGTGCTGTGAACAAACTCGATATCCTTGAAGAGAGTAAAGAAACTTGAGAGAGCAAGACAAAGACTAATTTATGTGAATGAATACCTTTTAGATCTGTATTTATACTTGTTTCAAAACACAATTTCCTTTTTCTTTTAGGAAAATATATCCCTATCCTATTAAAAATACTTTCCTTATCTTAAAAGGTATACCGTATTGTGAGATGTAGCTTTTTCCTTATCTAAAAAGATAGAACACGATGGATGAAGAAAGTTTATAGGTTTAGTTTCATGTATTACTCTGTGAAGGAAGGATATGTATTTATAAGAAAAAATCAACGTTGAATATTACATTTCTTGGAAGTGACCTCTAATCTTGCTCGCCAAGCTTTGCCCTTTTCTTTCATTATATTCATGCATATATACGTTGACTCTTCTAGTTAAAATTGGTGTAAAAAATCGACCAACTATTTATATCATCATGTGTTAGCCTCATTTTGTCTCTCTTCATCAGTCTAATACGTGAAACACTGAAACAAGCATTGCTTAGGAAGAAGCAGCAGCAAAAAAAGAACAAAGAAGCAGCAATGGCGGTAGCTAAGAAACAGAAGAAACTGGAGACAAAGATGAGGAATATAGTGAGGACACCATCCATGGAGATGCAGCTAGAAACCAAAAGATTCAGACAAGACAACTTCAAGAGCCAAGAAGAATCAAGAATCTCTCGTCACTTCATCTTCCAATAAAAAAATGTCTCTTTTACAGAACAACGAATACATTAGTAAGTTACTTTCCGAATGAAAATACATTAGTAAGTTATGAGTTCCCTGAAGTGTGTTGGTATCTAGAAATGTTATTCACAAGTCAAACAGTTCCTAATCCTAAGCCATCTTGGAACGAATATATTGTTTTTGGTATCGTGACTTCTTGTGGCAAGGCCGACCCTCAACACTACTTCATGAAACATTTTGCAACCGACCTCCAATTTTAATATATATAAAATTTTAATAATTATATACAACTCACTTTAAATTTGTTTCAAAAGATGTAGACAATTATTATTTTTTCTGTGAAGAAACTTGTAACTTATTAGTACTTTATTTGAAAATATTTTTACAAGTTTGTTTCTGTTATTTTTTGTGACGTTGTATATTGACCCTTATTTTCTATTTTGTTTCAGGTACTCGAAATTTCAGGACCGGTCCTGTTGTGGTACAAATATCAAATTTCTTTACCCAATTTTAATTGATCCAAATCAATATGTAGTTAAGAACCTCAAGACTCAAAACCTTCAAAAATGACATGACGATTTTTATTAATGCAGTTAGTGTATAGGTGTGTTCTTGTTCTTGAATCTTGAGTGGTCCCGTTAGTAATTAGCTCGTGCTTTGAAAAATCTACAACGACTCTGACTACAAAACAAAGACTTAATTAACGTATACCGTACAAAGCGGTTCGCAACTTGAGATACCTAGAGTCTGAAATGTAAATGTCATAGGTCGTCTATATAATACCGAAAAATGAAAATATTGTTATTGTCGAAGTTCTCTGTATTTGAATGAACATACGTAGATTGATATTTCGCTTTCGATTGACATAGTCTGTCATTTATTTACGTGGGCAAGTTGCATTTCGTTGTCCTTTTCACTGTTTTCAGTCAAATTTTTTCACCAATGTCGAGTTGGCTAGTGATAAAAAGAGTGCTAATAACTTTATGCTAAGAATGATTATTTATAATGTTTGGATTCCACATAAATACGTGAAACCATTTTTTTTAGTAAAAAAATCGTTTTAACAATGAAAAAGTGTCAAAAAATTGACACAAATAGAAAAATTATTTTATCTATAATTAATTATAATATGACATGTTCTCAGATCTAAAATAGTTAGTATAAAATTATTCGACGCTCTTTATGTAATTCCCGAACATGTTATTATTGTTATCATGTGAACATCATGACGAATATGTAGGAAACCCTTTCACACAAAAAAAGGATTATAAGTTCACTCACACACGTTGGAAAACAGATTCATATCTTTCATTCTGTCATTAGAGAATTTCATATCTCCTATTTTTAGAAACAATTTGTGAAAAAAGTAAGAGAAACAAATGATTACTGAACCACGGATATGGCAGTCTAGTTAGTTTAAACGCATGCGTTGATGTTGTTGCGTTCCTGGATTCGGTCCATCATGAGAGAGATACTTTACGCAGTGGACCTTATTCCTTAGAATAAGTGTTTGCCGGGTCTCCAGAACTTCCAGATAATCACACCAATAAAAAAACAAATGATTACTGAGGTTTGTGGAAAATATATGAATTTATAAAATTCCACAAAGACACCTTACTCCAAGCCGTGATGAGTGACTCACAGGCTGACTTTTAAGCATTTTCCTTGCACAAGGAAATGACCTTTTCACTTTGAATTTTTTCACATCATTGTTTTATTTTTTTTATATATTTGATATATAAAATTATATCTACAATAACGAAAAGTTGACTCCACAATATGAAATTTCATGTTTTTTTTGTTGTTTAGTTGAAATCTTCAGATTGAAAAGTTTAGATAGTTTAAGGAACTGATGGAACATATATGCTAGTAGATTTAAAATTTACTAAAATATAATTTGACTCATAGCCCTTAGATTTTAATTTTGGGACATTACAACATATTTTGATAATCATGTGTTATCATTATGTTGATTCGTAGAATCCTTATGAAAATAGGTTGATCTCTCTCAACATATTTTATATTTTGTTCATAAATTAACTATCAAATTAGTTAGTAGTGCATAAAAAAATATTGTTCACGAGTGTATAAAAGAATATTCTACATTATTTTCTTAAATAAAAACTACAGAATTACATAATATGATTAACAAATATATGACAACTAATAATTTTTAATAATAAAGATTTGATAAAATTTTTTGTATCCTCCACCATTTTTTTTTTAATTTTATATTCTTTTAAGAAATTAAAAAAAAATCACATTAAGCATATAATAAAAACTTAAAATTTTCTTATATATTATATTTAAAATTTTTTTAGCGATTATAAATTACTAAGACTATCAAAAATCCACATTGATTTTTTGTGATCAATGGTTTAATTATTTGTTATAACAAAATACAAATGATCATAAAATCATGTAAATATGAATTTCCATTTAATATATACTCAATATATATATATATATATGTGTGTATTTCAATAGCACTTAAATTAAAATATATATCATATGTAAAATACATAAGCATGTTAATTTCAAAATTCATTGAGTAGGAAGTCGTAATTAATAAATATGCATATTAATAAAAATAATATTTTGGTTACAATAGATATAAAAATGTTGATAAAATCATATGAATATGAAACCTTAATTAGTAAATATTTATATCAAAATATAATAGATATCTATATGAATATAATTTAAGCCATTTAATTTCAATTATGTACCATATAAAATAAATAAATGATTACTTTTATTTTTTACCAACAAAAATATTGTAAATAAAAAGAGAGATTTTTATTTATTTATGTGTTTACTCCTTACTCCAATTTAATTATATACGTAATAGTTACTCGTTTCATATGTAAATAAATACAAAATAAATAATAATATGTGTAAATAACTTGTATACATAATTAATTTTCATTTCGTGTAAACGCAGATCTCAAATGTTATTTGATCATATTATTTTAAAAATACAATTTTTCATGTCGAAGTTCATATGGAAGTGATATGATAATTATAATATCCGGATGATATCAATAAAATCTAGTATAATTTAAATAAATTTTAAAAAATCAACAAACATGACATTACCTTAAGTGGTCAAAATCCAGATGCCTTGAATTAATTTTTCAAACTCTCATTAAAAGGAATCAAACTATAAGTTGTTCCCTAGATATTATTTGCAAACTGATTTGTATATGTGTCATCTCCAAATTTATTCTCAACGGAAAAATAACATGTCTTTTGAAAAAATATGACATGACATCAAACCTATTGTGACATATACCTTTTTCTTTATTAAGATTTCTATTTTTTAGCTAAGTTTTGTAAATTGGTAATGAATAATAACAGTTATCTCATCATTAAAGTAAACTTTCTATATAACTATTAATTAATAATTAATAATATATCATCATTAAAACAAAAAAACATATATCACATTAATAAAATAAATTAAATATTATTACAAATATTTACATCAACTTCATATTTTTAATATAATATATATATCATCAAAATTAAAAAGTTAAAGCAATACTAATCAAATAAACTTTTTTGATACTTAAATGATTTTTTTTTAAATGATTAAATTTATCAGTTTATGAGGTTAATTAACATATTATTTTTTATCAGTTTAACATATTTTACAAAAACAAACAAAATTCCAAAAATATAAATTTAAATATTTAAATAAAACTATATTTTTAAAATACGAAATAAAAATATATTTAAAATAAATAATCATTAAATATAATAAAATACAAATTATTTTTATAAACTATAGTTTTAAAGAGTAATTCTCTCAAATAGCATTTTTAAGTTTTTTTCACAAAAACAACCATAAAAATGACCAAAATAGTCTTTTATTTTAAAACTTATAAAATTTATTTTTTATTTTTTGAAATTTGAAACCATAAACAAAATTTCATCCCTTAGCTCTAAGTTTAGATTAGTTAACTCAAGGGTATAAGTGCATATTTACATTTTAATAAAAAATTATTTTAAGCATTTTCTTTCTTCAGGGTTATTTTTTATGAAAATAAACTAAAAAAATTATCCAAGGAATTTTTTCAATTTTAAATCTATTGAAATCTAAATAAAATTAAACTGAAAGTGTTAAATAAAATAAAAAAATACAATATTGGTTTTTTTAACCGGAGAAACTTTTAAAATATAAAATAATGTCAAAATACAAACTATATAAATATTTAAAATAAAATATTATTATATTTAAAATTATTATTTATGCGCATGGCATAGTAATTTACAACTATGATGTACACGTGAGTTCTGAAAATGTGAAATACGAGAATTTATACATTTCCAAAGTAATTACAACTTCTCAAATAGATTTTTCCAGATCACACGATCATAGATTGAAACATTTTATTTGGTTGTTCTTGTTGGCATTTTCCTATATATATTTTTAATTCAGTTGAATCCAAAAAGGAATGCATAAAAATGACACATAAGACCAAAACATGGTGGGTTCCTCTCCTTTAATAATGGAGTTACCCCCTTCTACAATCTATTGAAGAACTCTAGCTTATATATATCCCTTACCAACCCCACATAGTTCCTTCCTCTCTCTTTTTTTCTTCCTCTTCTCCTAAACCAAAACTCAGTGCAATAAAAGCTCAAATAGCTACTTGATCTTCCACTAGCTCTTGTCTGAATTGGTAAAGAAGAAGAAGAAGACAACTAATGAAATGGGTCTTTGCATTTCATTACTTTTGTCTTCCCCTCCCAAAACAGGTCTAATTAATATCAAGAAATTCTTCTGCAAGTTCTTGTTTTTTTTAATTATTTCTAGAACCTCTCAAAAATGTTTCAGAATTTTTAAAATTTCTCACATGAAATAAAAAGATGTTTGTTTTTCTGATTAATCAGCTTCAACGAACAACCTCAGTAACAGAACAGAGTTCTGGTCAACGACCACCACTCTCGGGACGACAAATAGCACCGCTGGACCACGAAGCCAATTCTCCGAGGCGGCTAGCGAATATGCTGGTGGGATTGTTGGTGATTCCGGTCTAATATTGGAATCACCAAATCTCAAAGTCTACAGCTTTGCGGATTTAACGACGGCGACCAAGAACTTCAGACCGGATTCTATGTTGGGTCAGGGAGGCTTTGGTAAAGTTTACAGAGGTTGGATCGACTCAAAGACTCTTGCTCCGTCTAAAGCTGGTTCCGGTATGAGCGCCGCCATCAAAAGATTGAATTCTGAGAGCGTTCAAGGATTTGCAGAGTGGCGAGTAAGATCTATAAACTCTCTTGTTTTGTGATTTTGATTACTTCTTTTACTTAAAAAACGACATTGACTTTCTGTTTCAGTCTTGCTGAATGATTAAATAAATATTAATTTATACTAATATAGTTTTAAATTTAGGCATTTATAACTCTTATAGCACCTCCAATGAAAGTCTCTTTTTTTTAACACAACCTACAACGAAAGTCTTGCATGAGGTTATGTGAATGAAAAATGAAAAATGAAAAATAATTAAAAGAGAAGAGAGAGAGATTGAAAAGAGTATCACACTATAATTTTAAAAATGTGTAAAAATCCATGGAGACACTTGTCTTATTGTAGGTGGTATATAAGTTTATTGTTCGTCACTAATTTTAGATAGATAGCTAAATTATATTCAAATATTAGTATTGTTTTTGTTGATAACTCCTCTACACTTCTATACATAACGTTGCTCTTAGAGCATGATTTATGTAGAGTTCTTATATGAGTTCTCAAAGTATATTAACTCACACACATAGAAAAAGTATTGTTTTGGAGATCTCAAAACCATGAATACCCTTTTATAGTTTTGAAATATCCTTAATAAAACATAAATATCTATATATACATATATTTGAGGAACTTTGTCGGAGAACCTCATATTGGGGTTGTGCTTACTTCTGAGTGGTGAGTTTTCATTCATATGTAACATTATAATTTAGGGTTGGTAAAAGGTACAGAAATCTGGATTCTTTGGGACGATCAGTTGGTAAAATTTATAGTAACATTATATTTTCTGGTTTACTAATCTGGATTCTTTGGCACGGCGGTAATTTTCAAGTTTAAGTAAATAGTGGTTTTGTTTTTTTTTTTTTTTTGGACAGTCGGAAGTTAACTTCTTGGGGATGCTTGCACACCCAAATCTGGTGAAGTTATTAGGATACTGCCGTGAAGACAAAGAGCTTCTGCTTGTCTACGAGTTCATGCCCAAAGGAAGCCTAGAGAGTCATCTCTTCCGACGTATAAAGATCTCTTATACCCCCACTGAGTACCACCAATCATTGTAACACACATTGATTCTCTTTCTTGAAATTTACTCTGTATGATCTTTATTTGATTCAGGGAAGGAGCCTTTTCCTTGGGAGCTAAGGATCAAGATTGTGCTCGGTGCAGCTCGTGGCCTTGCGTTTCTACACGGCTTACAAAGAGAAGTCATATATAGAGACTTCAAAGCCTCCAATATACTTCTCGACTCGGTTAGTCTAGTCAAAACATCCTCTGATAGTTATCACAGTTCGTAGAATCTTTTATCCTTTTTTTTTTGCTAATGAGATTTTGTTTACGAATATTCATTTGCGCCTGCAGAATTTTGATGCAAAGCTTTCAGATTTCGGTTTAGCAAAGTTAGGACCATCACAAGAGAAGTCACACGTTACTACTAGGATCATGGGCACGTTTGGTTACGCTGCTCCTGAATACATGGCAACAGGTACATTTAGAAGAAAAACATATATCAAACATAGTTATTTTGTAACAAAACTATTAAGTAACCGCTTTTAGTTTATTTTCTTCATCTTCAGGCCATTTATATGTCAAGAGTGACGTATATGCCTTTGGTGTAGTACTACTTGAAGTAATGACCGGACAAAGAGCATACAACAAAAAACGGCCCAAGGGACAAGAGAATCTAGTCGAATGGTTAACACCAGAACTCAAAAGAAAACATAGAGTGAACCATATAATGGACCAAGCAATTAAAGGTCAATACTCATCAAAAGTCGTAGCAGAAATGGGACGCATCACACTCTCTTGTGTCGCGCCAGACCCGAAAAATAGACCACACATGAAGGAAGTTGTCGACGTACTCGAACGCATCCAATGCATTAACGTCGTCACAGACCGTTCGTCAACTAAAACAACTGTTGCTAGCTCTTCTCGTTCCTCGCCACATCACTATCAGTATAGCTATCGAGCTGGCGCCGCCGGGCGGAACCGAGAAGGCGGTCGCCTGGAAAGTTTGGAGTAGAGAAAGATAACATATATGGGTTTATAGTCTTTTGGTCATATTCTATTTTAAAAGGAGAGTAATTATGATTTGTTTTGCAACCATATTCTTGGAATAATTTGTGTAGAATCGTGTATTCTTGTGTTGTTGTGTGAGATTCCTAGGGTTGCCAACAGTTACAAAATATGAAAGTAAGTGAAATGTGATCAAATATCATGTTGATAACAAAAGTTGCCTAAAATGTAGGAATTACATGCATAGTTACCACAGTTCTCAAAATTTTTAGAGTATTCATTTTCCACGTTTTTCAGCTAATCTTCTAGTAAGATGAGAACATATAAACAAAAGCAATTAGAAATATTCATCTGTAATTTGTAAGATGTTGTAAGTTTATTTTACAGGTTATTTTTTTTTGCATCGTTTTTATATCATTATTTTAAAGGTTAATTAAGTTGTGGAATTTGTTGGTCTTGAGAATAATTACTCATTTGAAGATTTTGAGAAAGAGTAGGGCTGATAAAATGATGAGTGATGACACTGAAAATCTTCAGTTTCAGTCGTGGTTTAGATGTGGATAAATTATCATATTTCAACATTGGACCGCATCATTATTTAAGTTTAAATTTGGTGTACGTTTTCATACTCATATTTCATTTGCCAATGAAGAAATTCAAACTTGGGAACATATCCAGATTCAGTAACGTCCTGATCATGTTCAGATGTTTCACTACAGGATTCACATTGAAATAAATACCTACACCATTCCGCTATTCAAATTAAACCTACTGTTTCCTAAATGCAGTGAAACGAACATAACTGTATATTAGGTCTCTATTCGTAGACCATTTCTAAACTCTCTTTTTATATAGAAAAGATATATTATAAAGATAGGTTTTGTTCTAATGCATAACTATATAATATAGTTACAGTTTTTTATTTAAAGAAAAATGTAGAACATAAATAAAAAACTAATGAAGATGCTCTTAATAGTTGATTCATGGCATTACTAAAATAATAGATAACTAGATTTCAACCCGCGCAACCGCGTGGGTATTTGTTTTCAATTATTTTTATATAAACATTTTGTATTTACTTCTAAATTGGTATATATTATATAAAATATGTATATCTATTTTTTAAAAGATAACAATTTTATCATATATTAGTTTTCATCGAAAATATTATTTCAAACTTTCACATGTAATTGTATCTTCTTCTATATATACATATATATATATATATATCTTTTTAATTATTATTTCATTACTGAAATATATGTAAAGATTGGTAAAATATTGTTTTATTGTCAGCTCTAAAGATATTGTAACATTTCTCAAATTTATAAAGTTTACAACTGTTAGCTTCATATTATGGCGTATATAATTAAAAAATTAGTTTTTGTTATTTTTAAAAGTAAACTATATAATTTAAAAATTGTATTCATTGGTTTAAGGTAGTATGATTAATTATTGTTAGGAAGTGATGATTTTGTTATTTTTAAAAATAAACTATATAATTTTTAAAGTTAACATCAAAAATATATAAATAATTAACTTATACTATTGCAATATTAAATTATATAAGTTTAATTTAAACATGTATTTTATTATACTATCTATAAATCCAATAGACCATCTAATTTTTATTACCCCAGTAAAAATTTCTAATAAGCTCAATAAATGTTATTAGTGAATCGAATGAGTGTTAGTAATGATTGAATAATATAATGTCATAAATTTTATTAGATGGACCATTTTAAAATATCACACATGAAGTGAAGTCATGACTTCTCTTTTAATATATAAGTTTACAATTAATGTCTATGTGTAGACACAAAGATACATACATCATGAAAAAAAGTCCACAGGCATATTCTCTACTAGAAATCGTTTGAATGAAAGTTTCAGAAACTTTTGGAAGAATTTAAAAATCTCCAAAGTAAAACAAAACTCTTAAATGTATTCTTTTAGATCACGCGTCACAGAGTCAAAAAGCTTCGGCCATGAAAAGTAACTTTAGTTGGTCGATGTTCTTGGCATCATTTTTCATACTATATGTATAGTTTAATTCGTGGTAATTAAAATACGCATAAAATAACAAATTAGGCTATAACATGGAAATTGCCAAATGTAGAATTTGTTAATCAAAAGTATATTGCAATTCTTGTTCATTTATTCGAAACTTAAGGCCATAAAAATCTCAACTAGCTACTCGATCATCCGTTAGCTCTTGTCTGAATTGGTTAACAAGAAAGAAAAAAAAAAAAAGAAGAAGAAGACAACGACTAGTGAAATGGGTCTTTGTGTTTCATACTTTTCCTCTTCCTCTCCTTCCAAAATGACTAACAACCGCAGTAACATCGGACGACGGAACCAATTCTTGGGGAATGCGAGCGACGGTTGCGGGCAGATATTGGAATCAACAAATGTCAAACTTTACAGCTTTCTTGATCTAAAGACTGCGACCATGAATTTTAAACCGGACTTGTTGTTAGGCCAAGGAGGTTTCGGTGAAATTTACAAAGGTTGGATCCATGCCAAGACTCTTGCTCCTTCTATAGCAGACTCCGGTATGACCGTCGCCATCAGAAGATTGAACTCCGAGTATGTTCATGATTTAGAAGACTGGCAAGTAAGATTTAAACTCTCTAGTTTTAACAAAACAACATAATTTTATTATTTCATTAAAGTATTACGTAATTTAACCATTTTTTTACTATTCCAAACAGAAAACTACCTTTGACTTTACGTTGCAGTCTTGATTACAATTAAAAATGGATACTGTTTCAATGTAGTTTTCTCATTAATGTATCCTTTGTACCCCTTATCTTTTAGAAAACAATAGTTAAATAAGAACAAAATTGAACGTTTAATTAGTTTCTGTGTGAAAACGCTTAAACGATATATAATTTGAAACATAGGAAATAATAAAACATGTTTTTGTGCTATGGTTTTAAAATTTAGGCATCTATAGAAACTTTTTAAAGCTCGTGTTATGAACGAGAGTCCTATTATATTTCATTTGGTTTATCACTTTATTGTATGTTTGAATAAGCGAAAATTTTGATTTCGTGGTTTTGTTTTTGGTTCTGGACAGACAGTCGTTAACTTCTTGGGGAAGCTTTCACACCCAAATCTGTTGAAGTTATTAGGACACAGTCGTGAAGGCAAAGAGCTTCTGCTTGTATACGAGTTCATGCCCAAAGGAAGCCTTTGTGATCATCTTTTTCAACGTAATTAAAATTTTCTAAACCCATCAAACCGGTGTCCATATCTTTACAACAAGACTTGTTTAGTAAAAACTTTGATTTACTTTGCTTCAGGAACCGAGCCTCTTCCTTGGGACATGAGGATCAAGATTATGATCGGTGCAGCACGTGGCCTAGCGTTTCTACACGGCTCACAAAGAACAGTCATTTATAGAGAATTCAACCCGTCAAATATACTTCTCGACTCGGTTAGTCTAACTAAATTCTCATAATTATACTATTGTTATTAACTAAAAAAAAAAAGAATCTGTATTTTGATTTATCCGCGCAGAATTATGAAGCAAAGATTTCAGATTTAGGGCTAGCGAAGTTTCGATCAACACAAGAGAATTCCAACGTTGTGATTAGGATCAAGGAAACAATTGGTTATGTCGCTCCTGAATATGTGGCAACAGGTACATAACTAAAGAGAAACATAAACAATAAAAAAACTTATATAAAATAATAGTTATGGACTTTGTTAAACTCCTGGATCATACAGTTTTACAAGATAACCTAAGACTTGTAGAGCAAGTAAAGTAGTTGAGCCTTACTTACAATTTGGAAACATATACACAAAACATTTGGAAGTAATCATCAAGATTGGGTTAGGATATGATGCTATCATAACTGGTTTGAAGTCCATAATATCTTCTACATTGCTGACATTCATCATCTTCAAGATTTCTTGTGTTTTGAGCAACCCTGATAGTTTATCGTCTTCATTCTCAGGCCATTTATACGTTAAGAGTGATGTATACGGCTTTGGTGTGGTCTTATTAGAAATAATGACCGGACTAAGAGTGTGTGACTCAAAAAGGCCTCACGGACAAGAGAATCTAGTCGACTGGTTAAGACCAAAACTCTCAAACAAAAACAAAGTGAAACATATAATGGACAAAGGAATCAAAGGTCAATACTCATCCAAAGTGGCGACTGAAATGGGACGCATCACATTCTCTTGTACAGAACCAGACCCGAGAAAACGACCACACATGATGGAAGTACTTGACGTACTCGAACACATCCAACACATTAACCTCGTCAGTCGTCATTCCGAACCCTTCTTCCACTAAACCTATCACTGCTAGCTCTTTTCAGTCCTCGCCATGCCACTATCAGCTGGTTTGTGGGGCTAAAACAGAGCAGAGGTCGTGACTGGACGGTTTGAATAAAGAAAGAAACAGTTACTTTATGTTATTTTTAGAGTCATTTGGTTCAACTCTGTTTAAAGATGATGGTATAATTATACTTTGTTTGTGACCATTTTTTAAAGTTATTGTTTTACTCTATGACATACTTATGACTATATTGTTTCCTTGTGCTTTTGTATGTATGACATTCAACCTTTCACTTGTGGTTGAATATGGATAGTTATCCTAATTTCAAGATTGATGTTGCATTTTGATATTCTTTTTCAATGAAAGGTCTGCGTATTTTCTTTTCATTTTTTCCGTTTTGATGATGTAACTGGCAAACATATATTAAAGTGAACTGACATATTTACAAAATCCATATCCCATTTTATACTCTCAATTTTTTCTGTTTGCAATCATTCTTTTATCTCCTCTGTTTTCCTGGAAAATCACAGATTATTTTGTTGGTATCTTCTGAGAATTTGACTCCAATGTACCCTTTTTGTGGTATGTTGTAGGCATTCAAAGACAGAGATTCTGATTGTCTATCATATAGCTCTGATATTTTACTTCTGAAGTTACAACATTAACTCAAGAATACTAACATCTTACAGTGACGGTATGAAACGATATTCATCTAGGTAAGTTTTTAGTTTCATATCTTGATTATGCGTTAACATGTGACTTAACTTGTAACGTATATATTGCTCAGCTGCACGAATTGGGGAGGGAATATTGTTGGATCATGAATCCGGTGTGGTCATAGGTGAGACTGCTGTAAGAATAGGCGACCGTGTCTCCAATTTGCATGTACAGATCTCTTCTCTCAATTCATTCCCTGAAAAAAAGGTAGACAACTAGTCATGTGAGTCAAGCTAGTTTGTGTTTGCACTTCACAGTGTGTGTGACGTTAGGAGGAACTGGGAAGGAAACCGGTGACCGCCATCCAAAAATAGGCGCCGGTGCTCTTCTTGGAGCATGTGTAACCATACTCGAACATAAAGATTGGCACTAGAGCAAATGGTAGCTGCTGGTTCCCTTGTTGCATCTGCAGACCTTTTCTGTTTCAACAACTCTCAAAATTGATTCTTTTCATTCTGAGTTTCTGAAGCATGGTGGCTTGAAAACCGGCGAGCTGAGCAAGATCAGTCTCTAGCAATGGAACATGGTGAGTCTTGATCTTACAGTAGTACAAGAAGTCAGATTCTACTAATGACTTCTTAAGGAAAGTAGCTGCTGCTTTAAGAGGGACAATACTAAATGGTAACTTACTGTAAAAACATGATCTTCAGTTACAAGAGTTGCAGAAAAAAGGAGGCATTATAAAGAGGTTATGAGATCTTTGTTGTTACCAAATTTTGACCAAGATTTTGATACATTATTACTAAAAAGTTCTGGAAAGAAAGAGAACCAAATCACACACAACAAACATTAATCAAAATGCAAAAAAAATAAAACACAAAAACTTTGAATTAAGCATGCTTAGCCTGAAAATCTTTCATGAAAGCAACAAGCTTTTCAACACCAGCCAAAGGCATAGCATTATAAATAGAAGCTCTCATACCTCCCACAGACCTATGCCCTTTAAGCTGCACCATCTTCTCCTTAGCAGCTTCCTTAATAAACTCCCCTTCCAATTCAGATTTCTCCAAAGTAAAAGGCACATTCATCAACGACCTCACCGACTTCTCAACAGGACACCTGAAAAACCCCTTGCTTTCTTCAATAGCATTGTAAAGCAAATCAGCTTTCCTCTGATTCTTCCTCTCCACTTCCTTCAACCCACCTTGCTCCAACAGATCCTCAAACACGAGACCACACATGTAAATCCCGAAACAAGGAGGCGTGTTGTACAAGGAAGCGTTCTCATCATGGATCTTGTAGTCAAGCATCACAGGAGTAATCTCCTGAGCGTTACCAATCAAATCTTTCCTGATTATAACAATCGTTACACCGGAAGGACCAACGTTCTTCTGAGCACCACCGTAGATCACACCGAACTTAGACACATCAACAGGCTTCGAACAGAAGTTAGAAGACATGTCAGCAACCAAGAACCCGTTTTTAGGAACAGGGTAGTCTTTAAACTCAACTCCATGGATAGTCTCATTAGCACAGATGTGCATATACTTAGCATCAACACTCTGTTCCAACTCATTAAAAGACGGAACCTTTGTGTACTTGTCAGCTTTACCAGACCAAACCACATTGGTCTTACAATACTTCTTCGCTTCCTTCACAGCTTTGTCTCCCCACGAACCGGTTACAACGAAATCAACCGTATCATCCGGTTTACAGAGATTGAGAGGCAAGGCGGCGAACTGAGTCGTGGCGCCGCCTTGCAAGAACAGAACGGAATATTCGGAGGGAATCTCGAGGAGCTGACGGAGATCAGATTCGGCTTTTTGGATGATGGAGAGAAACTCTTTGCCTCTGTGACTCATCTCCATCACGCTCATCCCTGATCCACGCCAGTTGTATAGATCCGCCTGCGCTTTTAGGAGGACGTTCTCTGGTAAGGTCGCGGGACCCGCCGCGAAGTTGAAGACTCGGTCTTGTGATCCGGTGGTGGGGGTGGATCTGGTAGCTCCGTCTTGGACTTGGGGAGTTGAGGAGACGCATCTGACGGAGACGGGTTTGGTTTTTCCGGCGAGGGTTAAGGTGTTTGGTTTGGTGAGGTGGAGGAGGGACTGAGATGTGGATTTGGGGATCTGAGTGTTGTTTCCGACGAGGAAAGAGTTCGTTGACGCCGCCGCCATGATTGTGAGTGAGTGAGTTTCTGAGATTCTTGAGATTCGCTTTTTATTGCAAAAGATCTGTCTGAAAAGAGTTTGGTGAGAGAGAGAGAGATATAAAAGAGTTGGGAAAACGACAGCGTTTTGTTTGGTAGGTGGTACTGGTTTGTCTGCTATTTTGTTTAATTTACACTCATTTCCAATGTGTGTGTTTCAATTGTTTGTAGTAGAGAAGAGTTCAAACTAAAACTCTCTTTAATAGTTTATGATCTTATATGTTTCTCCACGAAAAAGACTGCCTGAAACAAACAAGGATCATTCTTTAACGGATGAACAGGAGAAAGCATTTTTACATGAAGATATGTCCATGAGTTGAGTTGCCAACAAGGTAGGGTTCTGGAGACGGTTAGCCAGAACAAAACCCAATGCTAGCTCTAAACAGTCATGCGACAAGACACCAGCATACACGATAGTAACTACGTACTCAATATCGGTTCCTTTTCAGCCTGTAAACACACAACAACATCTAATTAACCAATATAGTAGGAATATAAACACACTAACACTTTTCCAAAAACTAGTCCTTCAGTGATCTATTTATAATCAATGGGAATTGAAAGATTATGATTTCAGCACCATTAAGGCCTAAAAATGATTATATAGCTGAGTGATAAGAGCAAAATGTAACATCTACAAAGGTTTCATCAAGTATTTAAAGAAACAATATATATCACACTTGGTGCCATGTGTGTTTTTTTCTCTTTCATATATATTTGTTTTCTATAAGAAGATTTATTTTTTCAAAGGCAATTCAGAAAATGTAATCTGATGATACACAAATTATTGACTAAACATCTGCTTTTTACTGTATAGAAAAAAAGTAAACTCAAGTTAAATGCTAATGTCAAATTGTTCTTTGTGTATATGTTTTCCTATTTAAATACCTAAATTGTACGAGCTAATGAGTGGTTACTAAAATAGAAATAGCTTCGCTGATAAATATTTGAATAATAATACAGTTTTACAACAAATAATTGATTATTTTGTCATATAATTGTTACTAGTTGCATATTCCCCGCGCAAGCGCGGGGCCGAGATCATTATGTTTGCGTGTATTTTTTCGATTGTTGGTTTAGTGGATTCTTCTAATGACCCAAATTAATAATGAAATGGAAAATTTCATTTTTTATATCGTATGTCAAAACTTGATATAATTCTATACTTTTATATCGTATGAAATGGAAAATTTCATTTTTGGATTTATTTTTTATTATTTTTGGGTTGAGCTATATTATAATAGGATAGTTTTAACCGCGTAGGCAACCACGTGAGACTTGTTTTTTTTTTTTATTATTCGTTTTGGATTCATTTTTCACTATTTTGTGTTTGAACTTATTAAGGTTTAGGGTTTATACAACTATTTTGATCTTTAAAACAATAAGCCAAAAAAAAAACATAAGAACCTCATAAACAAAAGGCCCATATGATAATAACCTAAATAAAAAAAAATCAAAAATACATGATAACTGCGTGGTTTGAACCCACAATCTTGCATACTTAATTAGACACCTTATACCACTTGGCTAAAGTGTATTTCATTGTTTGTAATCATCTTACCAAGACTATGTGTGTTTAAAAAATATTTTTATGATGATGACATTAATTGGTTTATGCATGAGAGCAGTGGAAATTGAACCCGTGTCCGTGGAGACCAAACATGGGGTCTTAGACCACTTGACTAAACTGATATTCTTTGTTTGTAGCCATTTTAAAACAACTATCTATTTTAATATAAAAATATGGGATCCACGATCTGCCTATGTGGACACCTTAAGGTTATGAATGGGAGGGGCAGGACAAAGGCAGATCAAGCAGTTCTTCCGCAATAGGCAGTTCTCCTGCCTTATGTTTACCATTCACCATTTTCTGTTTGTAAAAGCAGTTCAAGCGGGAGATCTGCATGCAGTTCAATTTTTGTCTTTTAGTAAAAAAAGCAGGAGATCTGCATGCAGATCCCGTCCGCTAACATTTGGTGGTGTTGATCTGCCTTTTTTTTCCTTTTACTAATAAATAGTTTTATTACAAACACTTAACTTTAAAATATATTTATTTGATTTTATAAATAATGTACAATTATTAACTCAAACTATATAGTTCACATTAATATTATTTGTATCATTTTAAAGTTATAAGCATGATGTCTAATCGCCAAAAACACACAATATTTTCCACGAAAAATATAAATTTTTCTACATAAATGTCAGCAAAAAATAATTATTTTATATTTTAAAATAATTAATAAATAGAAGAAGTATAAGCATCTAATAAAATTTTTAGTATTTGCACTCTACACACAAGCTTTATGTCATAATTCACTTCATACCCTATTTCTTTCTTTATCTCTCCTCCCCATACATTACTATTTTTCCCACCAAAAAAGGCAAATCCCTAATTTCTCATTTTCTTATGGATTTCTACTCAATTCTCTCTAAAATTTTTACAGACATTTTGGCTGAACATACAACATCTGAAATATTTTGTTTTGATATTTGGTGTAATTTTTATTATTTTAATATGATATATAATGTGAACATATTTTGTCATTTATAATTTATAATAAATTATTTAATCTGTTTTATCTCCATTTTTATATATAAATATTAACAAAGAATTAAATATTAAGATGTCTGTTATTCAAAAATAATTTTGATCAACTAAAACGCTACAAGCATCTTATGAAAAATCCAATAAACATTTAAGCTGATCCTACAACATTTAAATATTTATATTGATATTTGGTATAATGTTATTCTTTTAATATATGATCTATAGTTTTGAACTTATTTTGTCATTCATAATTTATGATAAATTGTTTGATCTGCATCTCTCATGCTTGATCCGCTTGATCTGCACTTGTCCTGCTTGATCTGCATTTGTCCTGCTTGATTTGCATGAATCGCTTGATCAAGCACCGTTTGATCTACTTTTACCATTCGAATCCTAAGGAGCCTTTAAACTGAATCATTATAATATAGATTTCCTTGGTAGTTTTTTTTTCCTCAAATTTCCTTGGTAGTTTAATTGTTAAAAAAACAAAGGAAGAATAAAAAAGGTGAAGAAAAGGAAAAAAAAAAAAAACTGAACGCTGCATGCAATCGCCGAGAACGAGAAACATTCAACGTAACATCGAATCGTCGCTCTGAAACCTAAATTAATCCAAATCCACCACCAATGGCTAAGAGATCCGTTTCCATCCTCAACCGCCTCCTAGCGAATCCATCTTCTCCCTTCACCGCCCCCACCCGATCCATCACCTACATGCCTCGACCCGGCGACGGAGCCCCACGCACCGTAACCCTAATCCCCGGCGACGGGATCGGACCTTTAGTGACCGGTGCGGTGGAACAGGTCTTCGAAGCGATGCACGCGCCCGTGCATTTCGAGAGGTACGAGGTTCGTGGAAACATGAGGAAAGTGCCCGAAGAAGTGATGGAATCTGTGAAGAGGAACAAGGTTTGTCTGAAAGGTGGCTTAGCGACTCCTGTTGGTGGAGGTGTCAGCTCCTTGAACATGCAGTTGAGGAAGGAGCTTGATATTTTTGCGTCCCTGGTTAACTGTATCAACGTCCCTGGATTAGTGACGAGGCATGAGAACGTGGATATCGTTGTGATTAGGGAGAACACGGAAGGAGAGTACGCGGGTCTTGAGCACGAGGTTGTTCCTGGTGTTGTCGAGAGCCTTAAGGTATTAAAGTTCACATACTTTTATTGTGAATCGTTTGCAGATTGAATTGTTTTGAACCAAGGGATAGTAGTCTGGTGGTAAAAGAGTAAAGTTTGTTATGAGTTCGTGTTGGATTTTTACTAGTGTTTATTACTGTTTGATATGCCGAATATGATACCATGTTTAGAGTCTCCTGACTAGTTGTTGGTATTGTCTCATGGACATTAGTTGGACCTCGGTTAGTGGTAAAGAGGTTCCAGCTGGAACTTTTTCCCTGGTTAGATTTACCTTGGCCACCTAACTGTACCATTTAAATGGATTAGTTGTGTATCCGGATGTAAGATTTAGTGGGATTAGTCTTTATACCTAGAAAACCGTTAAAATAAAAAATTGAATGCATCAGAAGCTTAACAAAAGATTGTTTTAGAAGTTTTGATTTTTTTTTTTTTTTTTTTGGGGTTATATGTAGGTGATAACTAAGTTTTGTTCTGAGAGGATTGCGAGGTACGCATTTGAGTATGCGTACCTGAACAACAGGAAGAAAGTGACTGCTGTTCATAAAGCTAACATTATGAAGCTAGCGGATGGGCTCTTTCTTGAATCTTGCAGAGAGGTCGCTAAAGCTTATCCTGGGATTACATACAACGAGATAATTGTAGACAATTGTTGTATGCAGCTTGTGGCTAAGCCTGAGCAGTTTGATGTCATGGTATGTGACTTGCATTATGTTCTTTCTTCTGTTTACATGTAAAAGAAAGAAGATTTTGTAATCTCATGGGTACTAGTGGCTTGTGCAACTTATTCATATAGGTTCTTGTTTGTTTCAGGTGACGCCTAATTTGTATGGTAATCTTATTGCAAACACGGCTGCTGGAATAGCTGGTGGTACTGGAGTAATGCCAGGAGGTTTGTCCATACATGTCTTAGTTAAAGTTATATAACTTTTTCTTGTTTTTTTTTTCTTTAGAAGATGATTTATGTTTGGGTGGTTTGTTTTCCAGGCAATGTTGGTGCTGAACATGCGATATTTGAGCAAGGAGCATCAGCAGGGAATGTGGGGAATGATAAGATAGTGGAGCAGAAAAAAGCTAATCCAGTGGCTCTGCTTCTCTCATCGGCTATGATGCTTAAACATCTCCAGTTCCCTACTTTTGCTGATCGTCTTGAAGTCGCAGTGAAACAAGTGATACGAGAAGGCAAATGGCGAACCAAAGATCTTGGCGGAGATTGCACTACTCAGGAAGTTGTTGATGCTGTCATAGCAGCTCTTGACTAGGCTTCCTCTGCTTCTGCTTCTCTGTTTTGCGTTGTTATTTCCTTTTCTTGATTGTTTTTATTCTTGCATTTACTTCATTTGACAATGTTCAATCTCTTGTATAAGTACTTATTATAGTTACATAATAATTTCAATAAAGAGAAGCAGTTTTGTTTACAAAGCAAGATTTTGTTATCTTTTTTTTTTTTGCATCAAAATTGAGAAAATAAAGTAATCAATTAGCTTGTTTAACAAGGTGGTGTTAAACCAACGGCTAAGAAATGGCTCTGCTTTGCCTTTTCATGATCTTGGTGTTGATGAATAGGTAGCCAATATTTCCTTAATTTTGAAATTTGATTCGTTTTGGTAAATCAGACAACAGTATCTTATCAAAATAGTGTTATGTTATGCTCTTTTCTCTTTGTACAGGAGGAGAGGCAACTGATACTACTATCTCAAAGGGAAAAGGACTAAAAAGTAAAACCAACACTAAGTAGCCGAGTGAAGAGTACTGTGGAGTGTCATTAGATTGCTAATCATTGAGAGACTAGAGAGAGGACAATGTTTAAGGGGTCAATTAGGGAAGATTTACAGAGGACTTGTGGTCAAACAAGATAAACATAATAATCAAGAGAGAGCTTGACGTTGCTGGTTTCATAACCACAAAGAGATAATTAAACAATGCAAAAGGAGATAATCGTGCAAAGATCCTCACGTTATATAACGTTTTAACTCATGCTTATTTGCTCTTATAACATTAAAGTCTTTTAAAATGGTTCTTTTGGATGTAACATGTAATAAATGTAAATGCTATAAAGTCTATTTCCAGGATTAGCCGATCAGATACATCAGTGGCAGTGATATATGTTCGCAACTCGCAAGCAAATCAATTCAGAACACGTCCCCCTCTTACACTTGACGTAATGCAAGACGTCATGCAATCATGCATATAGACACATTTATCTTATTTTTGACGAATTTCATTCTTTAGGAGCCGTAAAAAGCACACTACGTACATAAGAAAAAATCATAACAAGAGGAAGATCTGGATCTCGTTACCTACCGAGACAAGTCAAAGAGCATTGGATATTCTTGGCAACTCGAAAGGTCAATTTATTAAAAACGAAAAAAATCTCGAAAGGTCAATTGATAATGTGGCGAAACCTGAGGCAACAAAGACTATGAGTCATGAGGCTTTATTTCTGTGGCTAAATAAGTTGACCACAATAATAGCACGACAGCTCAGAGTGTTACAAGATTTGCCAGTAAATAATAGGACCAATCAAATAAAAAAATTGAAGTTATTTTGACTGATGATGAGACAAGACCTTATGCTATATATATGCATGTGCATGGCAAGTTGAAATCAAGCAACTCAACCAAAGCAGAAAGAAAACAAAAACTCAAAAAAACACAAAAGATGGCAAATATGATCGTTATGGAACAATTAAGATCTACAAGTTTAACTTCAAGATCGCATCCAAGCACGATTGGTATAGAAGGAGCTCTTAGTAAGGTAGAAACGTTAAATGCCACGACGAGTTCGTCCGAATCGATCTTGATGGGATTGGCTAGTTTGGAGGATCTGTATGATCGTGTGGAGGAGTTTCTGAAGATGGGTTCGACACAACGTGTTATGTCTTCTGATGGATCAGAGTTCGTGGAGGAGATGCTAGATGAGTCTTTGAGACTAATGGATACATGCAGCGTCTCGAGGGAACTCATGGTGGAGACTCAAGAGCATGTTCGTGATCTTCAATCATGTGTTAGAAGAAAGAAAGTAACCGGAGGAGGAGGGGACCAACTCGATGTTGCTATCTCAAGCTATGTCGGATTTAGAAAAAACATGAGAAAAGAAGCTAAGAAGCTTTTAGGAACCTTGAAGAAAATCAGTGATGGTTCAAGTTCATATGATAATGAACATCTTGTGGCGGTAATAGATGTGCTGAGACGAGTAGTTTCGGTTAGTGTCGTGGTGTTGAAGTCGTTATTAGTGTTCTTGCCCGGGAGACAAAGTAACATGAAGAACAAGTTGGCTTCGTTACTAGTGAAGAAGAAGTATAATCATGATGCGACCAAGAACGAGTTGGATACATTGGATTATGCTATTTGCAGAGACTTTTGCTCTTATGATGATCTACAAAAGAAGCTTGTGGAGGTTGAGGTGAGCATTGGTGGGTTTGAGAAGTGTTTAGAAGGGTTGTTTCGAAAGTTAATAAGAACACGAGCCTCTCTTCTCAACATAATCTCTAACTAGGTTTTACTAGTACATCGGTGGGCATTCTAGTTTTGAGAACTTCCCTGAGGCATGCATTGTAAAAGCATACTAAGATTTTTTTTGTAAACTCATTAATTTGATAAATGTAGAGAAAATTTGTGAAATAGAACCAACATTAATTGGTGTTACAAACCCACTGTTACGAGTTATGAGGCATTCAAATTCACTATTTGCTACTTAGTTGGGCCAAGCTGAAAGATATGAGCACAAGTATGGGCAAATAAACCCGAAAATCCGAACCGAACCCGATCCGACAAAAATGAATCCGAACCCGATTTAAACACCGAATGGATCTTGTTTTTTGGTATTTCGGGTTATGGGTATTATCCGAACCGAACCCGAAATTAAATGGATATCCGATAGAACCCGAAACATTCAAATTTTTTTAATAAGAATGTGTACCAAACATGATTTTAATTCCTAATATATATCAAAATATTTTAAGATATTACTAAACATCTAAAATAATTATCTATTACATGAAGGTTGATGGTTGAAGATGGCGGTTCAAACATGATGGTTGAAGATGGCGGTAGATTAAAGTTTTGTTATTACTGAATAATGTTTCTGTTCTTTAAGAACATGGTTTTCGTTTTATGCTTTCATTTATTTGGTTTTCTTTCTATCAATAACTATGTTTACCTTTCATTTGATTTTGAATGATCAAATTTGATGTTCCTTTCTTATTTTTGAATCAATTTTACTTATGTTTTGGTTATAAAATAGTTACACATTAGTTATTTTAAATCTGAGGAACCAATTTTACTTATGTTTTGGTTACAAAGTAGGTATAAATCAAGTATTTTTAAACCAAAGAACCGATTGGGACCCGAATCCGAAAGTATAACGGGTTGTACCGGTTCTTTAAAGATTTACTAACACCGACATGAACCTGATAGACTCTGAACCGATCCCGAACCGAACTTTCAAATAATCCGAACGAGGCTGATTTTGATAAACCCGAAGAACCGAGACCCGATTGGATAAAACCGAAACCCGAATGAGACCCCGAATGCCCATGCCTAGACGTGGACCAAACATATATGCACCAGGACACTCTTGATATTCTCTTTCACTTGCTTTCTCATCTAAAAACGCAGTTAATGTGCCTTGAATATAGATGTTGCATCTAGGTGATAGATGATGATGCATCACGTACATTTTACCAAACTATTTTGCATCAAGCTTGTATCAAATTTGTTATGGATGTTATATTTGATTGTGGATTTAGAACCATATGTCCGTATATTTTAAGGTTTTTAGATGTGGTATGCTACTAAATACATGTTTTTATTCAAAATAATTATAAAATTGCATTCTATAATTTTAATATCGCATCCAACAATAATTTTTTTCTTTAAATATATATTGTACATCTTTTTATTCATTTGTTTCGCATCTATTCTTTTCACGTCCGACGTAACAAACGCAATAGGCATGAGCCCATTCATATGATCCACACCAAGCATTGCAAGTATGTATAATTGTATCGTCAATATAAACATACTAATATAATGTTAGGTTTTACGTGATTTATGTTACTTTGTATCAAAAGAGATCATTCAAATCTGTACCAGACTACACTCTATAAATGTAATCTGGATTCGTATCATAAGATACGTCATACTTCATTACGAATTTTATATAAAATTGTACATGTTGATCTAACTAAATCACTCGTTCTTTCGTCATCCATTGTATCAAAAGTGCTTTCACTTAAATATTTATATACATACATACTAACTCTTAAAGAGAAACTAAAGACTTTCAAATTCAAACCAAAAGGCAAAAAGACTCTAAACCTGATCAATGGAAAACCTAATGGCGGACACACCTAAAATCATGGTTAAAATAATTGGTGGTGAGTGTGACGGTGTTATTTAAGGGAGGCATCGTCCATTGCGTGGGGACGAAAGCATCCATGCAATAACATATCCACATACATATCATATAAATAATGTAACAAAATCTTTCAAGGATCTTTCTTTCAAAGATTTTGAGGTGCCCCACACACACAGAGAGAATAATTAGTAAACAAATAGCCTTGTAATTGTAACCTTCAAGAAATACAAATATCCAACGATGCTAAAAAAAACTAATTAAATAATGACAATAATATTAAAAATCGTAAATGGACGGTGGCTTCACATGAAAAGAGAGGGTAAAATAGTTTCGGTTTTAGTAATCGAAACCGAAACATCGAACTTCGTCAACGATTCAACTAAAATTCAAACAAACAGCATTTAATGAGTCTTACGTGTTCTGGTCCTCCTTAGTGAAAGTACCCATACTCACTTCACATGGTCTTCTCTTAGTCTAAAATTAGATAGGCCCTACCTCATTGACATTTATGTCACTGAAGATGTGTATTTATATAAACCCTACTAAAGGTACCAAACAAGCATAACTCGAAAACCCCATTTTGATCATCATTACTTGATATGTATGTGTCTTCATTGTCTCCGAGATTTCACAAAGCATACAAAGCTAGATGTGTTAGCTTACCGGTTCGGTTGCATCCAAGTGTGAGGAGGATTCAAGAAGTGGTCTCCAAGGTTAGAGCCTTGGGGTCATCTTCGTTGGAGTCGAGGACGATGGTCCGTGACGGTCTCTCTGGTCTCACCGAGATTTATAGATGTTTAAGTGAAGATCTCTTCAAGTCTTCTTCTGAAGCTCAACAAGCTCTTTTTAACGGTGGCGGTTTGATGGATGAGCTTCTTGAAGTGTCGTCGAAGTACTTAGAGGTTTGTGGAGGAGCTAAAGACGGTACGTCGAGGATCAAAAAGAGTGTTGTTGAGCTTCAGTCAGCTTTGAGAAGGAGCAAGAAGGGAGGTGAGTTTAGCCTCGAGGGTGACGTGGATGCTTACCTGGCGTCGCGTAAAGAAATCAAGAAAGAGATCAAGAAGTACATGGTGATGTCGAAAGAGACAGATTCGTGTTTAGAGAGTAGTGTTTGGTGTGATCGTAATGATGATCAAGACATGAGTGCTTTGGTTAGAGTGATGCAAGAAACAAGTGTGATCACTTGTTTCGTCTTACGCACGGTATTGTCTTTCTTGTTGTCGCCAAAAGGGTTAAAGAGTAAGAATCATCATCAAAACAAAGGTTGGGGGATTGTTATGAAGCTTGTGAAAAAAAGAATAGATCATCATGGGAAAGAGTTTTCTTGCCTTGAGCTTGAAGCTATGGAAGCTGATTTTGGGAAGCTCGTTGTGATGACGACAAGGGAAGATCAGGAAGAGGAGAAAGAGATTAGTGAGGAAGTAAGTGAAATGATTCAGTGTGCAGTGGTTAGATCAAAAGATGTAGAGGCAGTCATGGAAGAGCTCGAAGAAGGACTTGAGGGATTGTTCAAGGTGATGATACAAGCTAGAGTGTCTCTTCTTAACATCCTATCCACTTAAGTAACAAATAGTAGCATTTTCGAGTTCTTGCTCTTAATTTTTAAATTAGGACTAGATCAAGTGGTTTTATAATCTTGGTTTGGTATTTGTTTTCCTCGTGTGTTGAGAGAGAGTTTAGACATGCATCCATGTATTAGAGGATGTGTGTTTGTTGTAAGTTTGTAAACTCGTTCATGTATGAACAACTCTTGTAAACAACTCGTCCATGTATTATGTACTAATATTTATAATTTTATGAGAGAGAGAGACACACAAATTAATGTATCAGTAATTTATATGTTTAGCATAGGATAGTTTGTATTTTATTCATAAAAACAATTTTAATTATAGCAGAACCGTTGAAATAACCAAAAGTGTTAGAAAGTGACTTTAATTTTATAGTCATCATTGTCTTTAGTCAAGCTAAGAAGAGAATCCGTCTTGACATAAAAGATTTTGTTGAAAGAAGAAACCGGTGAATAAGATAAGAATCCATGAAATATTCTTAAATTTCAAAGATTTATTTTTCTTAGTTTGTCACACATAATTCTTACAAATATTTTTTTAAGCAGAAGAGCATATAATTTATTTATTTGCTGGAGGTTTAGGACATACGCAATAACAACCGGTACCAAAACATAACTCTTTGCAGTCTTTCGTACAAAAACCAAAACCCCCTCCTAGTGGCTTAATTGTCGGCATTGAAGCTTCGAGATCAACCAAGGGCAGAGACGTTTCTTCCTGTAACATACGTTTCGCCTCAACATTCTGGACTGTTACAGACACCATCACTATACAACACAGGAGGTAATAAACATAAGTAACGCAATCTAATTGTTTTATATCATTAACTTAGAAATAAATCTTTTGATTTTTTTTTGCATATTATATAAAATAAATAAATAAAACTTTGAATATACCAGTCAAAGCTAAAAGGAAAATGAAAACAGACTTGAATGAAAATGTCTCCATCAGTTCCTTTTTGTCTCCCGGTAACTTTCCTGGAAAAATAGAAAAATACAAAGACAAATGTGAATGGATTTATATTCTGGACAATGTATAGTTATACAATAGATATGAATTTGGTCATTTCAGGTAAGGAGAAGTAAATCACATTCATTAGAGTTAGCCGGAAAAATAAAAGTCGGAAAAAAATAAAAATTGGTTAATTATTTCAAAAGTGTTCTTATTGATAAGAAAAAAGAGATTAAAAATTATGTGAAAAAGGAGAAGTAAATCACATTCGTTATAATTAGCCGGAAAAGTAAAAGTACAAGAAAAAATAAAAATAAGCAAACCTTAATTTTAGTCGTCAATCTCTATGTTTCAAATCTAGATCTATTTCTTAGTTACCCTTGTCTTCTTTTTATATAAGAATTTCATTTTCTCCTTACCTAATATCATGTTTAATAGGTTGAGTGATTGGGCCGAACCTTTCGATCAATCATGTTTAATGGGCTGAGTGATTGATCCGAGCCTTTCAACCGTTGCTTTGGGTAGCTGAGCTATCAAGCCGAACTTGTGTGCCGAGCTCGTGATACCTGAATTGTAATGACAAGCCATTGAACCGATCTCATGACGCCAAATTAAACCGGATTGAGCCGATTAAAAGGACATAATTTTTTATTTGATGGATCTTGTAGAGGGATATAATCCACATCTCAAACAGATAAGATCAAACTTTTAAGAAAATTAATGCTATATTTGACCATAAAAATAAAATCTCCAAAGAGATCATAGACTATTAAAATAGTCAAAAACAAATCCATAATTTCTTAAAATAAAGATTTGTATGGAAGATCTTGAAAATATTAATAGCCCAGGAGAAAAGTCAGCCCATTACATAAAGCCCATTATATAATCAGCAAAACTAATCATTATTAGTCTTTGCTTAAGGTGAGAGATTTACGAGGAACCCGTGTCTAATAGACAACGGCTATATTTGGACAAGTACAAAGGTGGTCGGCTGTGACTTGTGAGTTCTTATGGGACCCAAAAGAGCGTTACTTTCTTATTATCATTGAATACCGTTACAACACACTCACACAACTTAACCTTCTCCTTCTTCTTCACTCATCGTGCTTCTGTGTCAGAGTCGCGGTGGAGGTAAATGACGGTGGCCGGAGTAGCATCAGAGAAGACGAAGAAGCTATTCAAGCTTAGTCTCTCTCTCTTCCGTCGCGGCTTTAACTCCTCCAAATGGTAACTCATGTCGATCGATTTATACATTCTTAGATTCTTAACAGAATCGATCAGTTTTGATGAACCTTTGTTTTGTCGGGATAAACAAAAAAAAAGCAAAACGGCGGCGAAGATGGCTGTAGCTCGAATAAAGCTTCTAAGGCACAAGAGACAAGCTGTGGTGAAGCAAATGAGACGTGACATTGCTCTTCTTCTTCAGTCCGGTCAAGATGCCACTGCTCGAATCAGAGTACTTCACTTCTCTATATAACTTTCTCTTGCCAAAGCCTTGGTAGCATAGAGGAACCTGAAAATTTAGGGGCTATAAACATATAGAAAAAACAATTAATTAATTTTTTTTTATAATTTTGAGTGCATATAATTTCCAAAAACAATTAGGGGTCAAACCCAATGTTTCATACGAATGTGCCCGAAAATTCCATGGCTAAAAAAAGAAAAAACCTTATCTGTTGTCTGAAAATCCAAGCACTTGATTTATAGTTTCTCTAGCACAAGCATTCAATTCAATTCAATGAAGATCTGTCTTTTGACCAATTCAGGTAGAGCATGTGATTAGGGAACAGAACATTCTTGCAGCAAACGAGATCATCGAGCTTTTCTGTGAACTCATTGTTTCAAGACTCACTATCATCACCAAACAGAGGTATGTACACATGTCAGTTTCAGTTTATTGTCTTTTACTTAAAACCTCAATTTAGCTTTTTCTTTTACTTGTTTCTTTTTTAGGGAATGCCCTGTGGATCTTAAAGAAGGCATTGCTAGTTTAATCTTCGCTGCGCCTAGATGCTCTGAGATTCCAGAGCTTGGAGATCTGAAAGACATCTTTGAGAAGAAGTACGGAAGAGATTTTGTTTCTGCTGCTACTGAGTTGCGTCCTACCTGTGGGGTTAACCGGATGGTAAGTAAACATTCTTTTGTTTCTGATTATGGTTTGTGTTTGATGTGACTCTTGTGTGTGTGTTTTGTAGTTGATTGTTAACCTTTCGGTTACGCGTCCCTATGGAGAATTCAAACTGAAAGTCATGAAGGAGATTGCAAAGGAGTTTCAGGTTGATTGGGATACTAAAGAGACAGAGCAAGAACTTCTCAAACCTCAAGAAGAAACCATTGTATGTGTCTCTTAATAGTTAATGCTCTCACTTTCTTCTTCTTCCGATTGGTAATGACTTTCGCTTTAGGCTTTGACTTTAGAATTGTGGCTGTAGAGATTTTGGCTTTAAAGGCTGTAACTGTTACTTTAGAGAAAGTTAAAAGCATGATTGGTACTCAAAGCTTTAGAAGCTGTGACTGTTATAAATATATGTTTATAATTCATTTTTCAAAATGTATTACCTATTTTTTATTTATACAAGTTTATAAAATATATTGGGTAGCTTAAAAACAGAAAATCAATCAAATTTATCAACAATATATTTTATTTCTTTATTGTAAAAATTTGAAATTGTAATCAACAAAATTATTTTATTAAACTTAAAATAAGATAATAATTTATTAAATAAATAATATATTAGATAAATGCAAAATGTAAACAATAAAAATGATTAATATAGTCATTTTATTTATTTACTATCAAAATAAAATAAGTAACAATGATTTTTTTTTTTTTAGTATTATCATTATTAAACATATTTTATCATTTAATTTATGTTTTGACTTATTAATTAATACTTTGCAGTAATCTATATAATAACTTTAAATCTTTAATAAATTAATGTCTAATAATAACAAGTTATGACTCTTTCTTGGTAACAAAATACTAACTACTCAATGAAAATCATTCTTCTAATTATATANAAATCTTTAATAAATTAATGTCTAATAATAACAAGTTATGACTCTTTCTTGGTAACAAAATACTAACTACTCAATGAAAATCATTCTTCTAATTATATAATTTGCTTGTTATTTCTTTTACTTGATTGAAAATAAAAGAGATTAACAAAAACATAATTGAGATCACGTTAGTTTTTAAGAAAATGAGAAAGAGAAGAGTTCAAAGCCTTAAAAAGTGGCTGTAGAAAAGGGTAAGTAAAAAACAGTTTTTTTTTTAAATAGGCTTTTAAGGCTTTAGAGATTTCTAAAGCCTAAAAAAACTGATTGGTAAATTTTTGGCTTTCATGGCTTTACATAACCACAAAGCCTCCACAGCCCCATTACCAATCTGACCCGTAATCTTGTTTTGTTAATGAGCAGGATGGGCCTCGTGCGTTTGTTAGCGCCTCAAGCTTACCCGTTACACGTGCTTCTCAAGAACCCATTGATCCAGGTTCAACAAGACACTCCAGAGATTCTGAAACAAGCTCCTATTACACCGAACCTTATACTGAAAACAGAGGAGGCTACAAGAGACACAGCTGCAACAATCCGTGTGTAAATGAATCTGACCAAAAGGAAGAAGCAGAAGCGAAGGAAACAGTGAGGAGAAGTCACAGCTACAACAACTCTCCACCACTAACTCCTCCTGTAACTTCTGAGATCATGTTTGATGAGTCAGACTATGAGGAAGAGACAGAGCCAGAAGAAGGACCATTACAGAGTCCTGCTTCTTCCCACCCGCCAAACCAAGCACCAACTCAGTCTTCTGAATCTGAGTCGAGACGGGACTCAAGAACTCACCAAGTTCACTCAAAACTGCCTGACTATGATACGTTGGCTACACGTTTTGAAGCAATCAGAGACAGTAAAGGGCCACTGATCTGAAGCTGGAAACTTCATTTATTTCATCCTATATAGAAGGAAAATCACGTTTTGGATTTTATGAGTGTATGAAGAAGAAATAAGCTTTATGTTTTGAACTAAAAATCATTGTCCAGATTTATGCTTTGTTCATAATCGTTTCTGTAATAAATTTAGCATAAGGAAAGTTGATAACGAGAGGATAGTTCGTTTCAAGGTTTATAAGATGGACTAAGAGTTGGTGGAATGGGTTTAGGTTAGTTGCTTGGAGGACAAGGCACTCATTATGACTACAGATAGTTGTGTTTACAATGAGTCAATGACGATGATGACAAAAAAAAAGAGTTAACTATTGGAAATATGAATGAAAATATTTAAAAATCTCAAGAAGCCAATCTAGAAACTAATAAAAACAAAAATACAAACAATTAAAGAGAAAATAACCAAATCTCAAACTTTTTTTTCCATTTGCTAGAGTAAGTTTGCAACTAAATATAAACTAATTAAATAAACAAATTTAAAATAAGAAAATACATTAATTCTATGGTCAAGTCAAAAGTGAAAGTTAATTTTTTTTTTTGACATCAGTGAAAGTTATTTGTAACATCAATTCATTTAATAACTTTACTTACAAACAGTTTAATAAACATTCAATGAAAATTTCAAAAAGTTAATTAAACAACAAAATAAAGGAAAATATCTTTTATTAAAATTTATTTCCATATCTGCAGATTTAGAGTATCTATATAATAAACACATCTTCACAATCTTCCAATCATTCAACCTAATTAACAAACGATATCAGAAGTAGAAAACCTTAAACAAGTAAACAAAGAGAGATGAGTCAATCCGTAGAGTGGTCTGATTTACCAGAAGAACTAGTCGATGTAATAGCAAGCCGTCTCTTCTCAAAAGTCGAGCTTCTCCGTGTCCGTAGCATCTGCAAACCCTGGCGTTCCGCGGCTTCAATCCATAAACGTTACCCCAAACGCCATAACCGCAACCGCGTACGTGTCCTTTCTCCGCTCAGTGAAGCAAGACCATGTTCACTCTCTCCCGCAGCTTTCTCCCGCGTGTTTCTTTCCTCGTGTCGTAGCAAAGGATGGCTTATCAAAACCCAAGACGACGCCGTCTCTGAAACACGTAAAAAGCTACTACACCCTCTCTCTCGTGCCCCTGTGGAATCTTCCCACAAAACCCTAGATCTTTTGGAGTATACGGTCTCAGAGATCCATCAGTCTTACGACGTTCATAATTACTATGGAAAAAACCAGTACATATCTTGTAATTTCGCTAGAGTTGTTTTATTGGGCAATTTCGTTTTCGGGGTGAATAACAAGAAGGAGATCTGGTGGTGCAACAATGAAGAAATTAAATATAATAATGTTTGGACAAGAGTTTCAGATGAAGACGCTGAGTATTTCTCGGACATCATAGTCCACAAAGGTCAAATCTATGCCTTGGACCTAAACAGTGCGATCTGGTGGATTAGTTTATCCGAGCTTAAGATTTATCAGTACGGTCCTTCGACTCCGATGGACTACTACGAGGTTGATAATTGCAAAGAAAAGAGGCTCGTGGAGTATTGTGGAGAACTATGCATCATTCATCGCTTCTGCAAGAAGTTTCGGGTGCGCAGATATGATGTGGAGAGGACTATTGGTTTTAAGGTTTATAAGATGGACATGGAGTTGGTTGAATGGGTTGAGGTTAAGTCTCTGGGAGACAAGGCTTTTGTCATGGCGACTGATTGTTGTTTCTCTGTCGTGGCTGGGGACTATTATGGATGTTTGGAGAGTGCTATCTATTTTACAGAAGAGAAGGATGTTAATGTGTTCAAGCTTACAGAAGAGAAGGGTGTTAATGTGTTCAAGCTTGGTGATGGTAGTGTTACTAAGTTGGTGAAGCCTTCTTCTGAGAGTTGTTTTCATATGATTTATCCTCCTTTTGTTTGAGAATGTTGGTGTTTATTATAATCTCAGAGCATCAGCATTAGTGAACCCCCACTTGGGTTCACCATCTGAATTTTTTATTTTTTATTTTTATTTTTCGTTTGATTTAAAAAAAAAAAATTAAACTGATCAATCGTGGGCCATCACGTGATGTGGGGTCCACGAAACAGTGGTGATCCGGGTTCATGGCAGAGAACCCTTGCGACCCGGGTTCATAGCTTTTAGATTATTTTATATTTTTTTTCTTGGCCTGCGTGTGAACCTCTTCCATCATCTTTTGATGGGGGTGCTCTCATATCCTTATGTTTTTTCTGTTTTTCCCATTGTTAATGATATTAACTTCTCTCGTATTTGAAAGTAATAAGATTTGTGAACTTGTTACTTGATTTGACAGTGCCAAGTATTTAAACTTTTAAAGTCTAATATGAAGTAAATAAGAATAATAGAGCATCACTATAGGAAGGATCCAAATTGTGTCATTATCATTATTATTGATTACTTAAGGACAAAGTTATGGACTTATGATTTTTTGTTGATTATTGGTAATGAGTTTTTGTACCAATCGATCACAATCAACAATACAATCGACGCTGAAACGACGAGGTGCAGAGGAGTGAGTTTACCTTGTTTACAATCGATTCGATCGATTCGACTGAAAGAGTAGGTTCGCGAATCGGTGGGTAGATCGAAGAAGAGAGGGAGAAGAGATGCGATACACGGAGAAGTGGCGGTTGTCGAGCTCGGTCTCGTCTCGGCTCTTGCAATCGTCGTCGCCACACAGAAGGAGAGAAGATAGGCAAAGAAAATTGAATTTGATAAAACACGGGTTGTAACTCTCCCGACTTCGTCTTCCTCTTCTGTTGCGACGCGTGGCGTTAAGGAGAGCAAACAATCGATTACTAATTAAAAAATGAATGCCTCGTCTGTAACCTGCTTTTCTTTTAAAAAATATTAATTTGGGCTTAAGGACTTATTTAGGGACACTGATAATGTTGATCTTATGATGGTCATCGATGAGTCAGTGTTCACAAAATCAAGGAGCCTGCAGATGTATATACAACAAAACAAATGGAAGATATGACTATTGGTTTCAAAGCAAAATTATTTCAGTGCAATGGATATTTACAATACAACAAAACATGTCATTTCGTATAACAGAAGTGTTTGATACAGATTACGATGTAAGGAAAAGTACATTTATTTAGAAGAATTCAGAGTCATAAGAAAGATCTCATAGGATCACGAAAGTGGAGAAAAGCTAGCGAGTTTTACTGTATCTTACAAATTGTCAATCAGTAAACCAGAATTGTGATTACCGAACCGGTTAACCAATTCATAACTAGTCCGGTTGGTTTGGTTATCGTGAATCAGGTAGCTGCCCATTATTAAGACGACGTCGTTTCGGTCTTCACTTTCCGTTAGCGTCTCAAGGAAGCGTCGACACACATTCTCGTCGGAAATTCAATCGGAGACATGAAGAAATCTCCGTTACCAATGCAGAACGCTCACCGCTCCGATAAGAACGTGGCCGGAAAAGAAGCACTGGTGAAGCTATTGAGATGGCATTTCGGGCATGCAGATTTCAGAGGGAAGCAGTTAGAAGCGATTCAAGCTGTTGTTTCTGGTAAAAGTCGTAACTCTTTTTGGTTTCTTAATTATTTTTTGAATCCTTTTTGCTTTGGCAGGAAGGGATTGTTTTTGCTTGATGCCGACGGGAGGAGGGAAATCGATTTGTTATCAGATACCTGCGTTGGCTAAACCTGGAATCGTCCTCGTTGTTTCTCCTTTGATTGGTTAAATTATCTGTTTTCATGAATTGGAGAATCTTTGTTTTTTTTTGTTTTTTTGTGATGATTTTGGGGATTCTAACTGTTTGCTTCTTTTGTGTGTTTTTGGTTTTCTCAGCTTTGATGGTGAGTGTTATTGTTCTTTTCTCATGCTTCTTCTCTTTAAGCTTTATTGTTTAATAAAAGATTATTCTTTGTTTTAATAAAGGAGAATCAAGTGATGGCGTTGAAGGAGAAAGGTATTGCTGCTGAGTATCTCTCCTCCACTCAAGCTACTCATCTTAGGAACAAGGTGAATGAATTACTGTGTGTATGTTTGTTTATATACAACGTAAATAAATTCTCATTTTTTGATAGAATATTAGAATTCAAGATTCATGCTATGTGCTTTGTTTTAATGTTGAGTGGATCACTTGTAAACGTGCTTCATTTTTTTTCACGTTTTTTTTTTTTTGAATTATACAGAGGTATCCTGGCCCCACATAAGTGGTCCAGACTAGCCACGTGTTGCCACGTGTTGCCACGTTTTTTGTTTTAAGTGTTTGTGTTTGTTTATTCCACCTATATATTATGTTTGTATACTGTGTATATATATGTTAGGAACACGGTTAGTTGGCTGTACTCTGTATGTATATGTTGTATTATATGCAACTTGATTTAGATTTTTCACATAAATAAGTTCCCATTGTTAGTAGTATTCAAGATTCATGCAATGTGCTCTGTTTTTATGTTGAGTGAATTACTTTGAAATGTTCTTCATTTTGTTTCACGTTTAAGTGTTTGTGTTTGATTATTTCTTGATATATCTTGGATGAGTGAAATAAGTTTTTGTATTTGTTATATTGTTTAATCTCATTTATGTGATTTTTGAACTTTGGTTTTAGATCCACGAGGACCTTGATTCTGGAAAACCCTCTGTAAGATTGCTGTATGTTACTCCAGAACTGATCGCCACGAAAGGATTTATGTTGAAGCTGAGAAAACTCCATGACAGGGGGTTATTGAATCTTATAGCTATAGACGAGGTAAGGCCGTGTAATGCTTATTCAAGAGTAAGCAAGGTGTTGAACTTGTAAGTGGGTTTAGTTTCTCTCGACTGTTTATGTATATTTCAGGCACATTGCATCTCATCATGGGGCCATGACTTCAGGTTTATAAGTGGCGATTGTATCAGCATTCTTGTCTGTGGGTGCTTGCTATTCTCTAACCTTTTTTTTTTTGTGATAAAACAGACCAAGCTATCGTCAACTTTCAACCTTGAGAGATTCTTTGGCTGATGTTCCAGTGTTGGCTCTAACCGCTACTGCAGCTCCTAAGTAGTCTTCTGTTTCAGTGAATTATAAGAACATGTGTTTAAATTGCAGAGCCTTTTCTCAACAGCAGTACTTTTCAGGGTACAAAAGGATGTTATTGACTCCTTGAGTTTGCGGAATCCTTTGGTCCTCAAGTCTTCTTTCAATCGCCCAAATATCTTCTATGAAGGTTTGTTTCCCTGACCCTCTGTAAAACGTATGAGGAGTTCCCAACGTTGTTTTGTTTCAGAATCTTCCATTACTATAAAAGAAGTTTTTTTTCTGGATTTGCTTTCCTATCATCTGAATAAGTTTCCGTTGGTGCAGTTCGGTACAAAGATCTTATAGATAATGCTTACACTGATTTGTGCAACTTACTCAAGTCATGTGGAAGTATATGTGCAATTATCTATTGCCTTGAGCGTACAACCTGTGATGACTTGTCTCTTCATCTCACCACTACTGGGATATCTTCTGCTGGTAAAAAAACGTTACTTGTACCTCTACATGCATAAAAGATTATCCCCAAGTGTTGATTCATGTTTATCTTTATGTTTGCAGCTTATCATGCAGGACTCAATAGTAGCCTGAGAAGTACTGTATTAGATGACTGGCTGTCCTCGAAGAAGCAAGTTATCGTTGCCACAGTCGCTTTCGGGTATGAACAACCCTATGATTAACCTTGCATTTGGTTCTGGATTTGTAATAACCGTCTTATTTGCGTCTTACTATGTTTGGGAGCTCTTGGTGCACGTGGTAAACACTCTAATGGTTTTCTCTACAGAATGGTAAACAGAGATTCTTTCTCATGCTGCATATTTTTCTTAAATTTACCTTCTTATGTACTGAAGCATGATCAGACCAACTCACTTTATAGGGTATAGATAAGAAGGATGTGAGAATGGTTTGCCACTTCAACGTTCCAAAATCGATGGAATCTTTCTACCAAGAGTCCGGTAGAGCAGGTCGGGATCAACTACCTTCAAGAAGTGTATTATACTATGGCGTAGACGATAGAAAGAAAATGGTAAAGTTAACTCTTCACAACTTTCATTCTATGAGTAAGCTATCTAACTTACTTACAAACTCTTTGTTAGGAGTTTCTACTAAGGAACTCGGAGAATAAGAAACCCCCATCCTCAAAAAAGCCTACATCTGACTTCGAGCAGGTAAAATGCTTTCTTGTTTTTTTATCAGTTTCTGTGTATTTACTATTTAAGTTGAAACTTATTCTCATTCATGCTACATGAGTATAGATTATGAGATACTGTGAAGTTTCTGGATGCAGAAGAAAAAAAATTCTTGAGAGCTTTGGTGAAGAGGTGTGGCTTGTGTTTTACTGATTCATTTGAACGTTTCATCAAACTAAGCCGCTGATTCTCTTGTTGCAAACAGTTTCCTGTGCAGCAATGCCAAAAAACGTGTGATGCATGTAAGCATCCAAATCAAGTTGCTCGTTGCTTGGAGGAGCTCACGACTACCGCCTCCCGAAGACACAATTCTTCTCGAGTTTTCATCACTAGGTTTTGCTAATAACCTCATCTAACTGTGTGCAACAAAGTATACAAAAGTGTAACTAAACTCCCTACTCAAATATTTTGCCAGCTCGAGTGATAATAATACCAATGAGGGGCAGTACTCTGAGTTCTGGAATCGTAATGAAGATGGAAGCGATTCCGATGAGGAAATATCAAATTCAGATGGTAGCCCTCCCTTCGATGATATTTAGCTCATAGATATCCACTCTTAGTACTCACGTTTTGATCCATTAACATCCAGATGACACTGATGCGGTCAAAAGCCTAGCAGGACCTAAACTATCGAAAAAGCTGGGACTAGATGAGAAACTGGTTTTACTGGAGCGGGCTGAGCAGAAGTACAACGAAAGGAATAAACAGGTTTGGTAACAGTTTCACTTCATCTTCTTTAGATACAAGTTTACCTTAGCAAAGCTTACTTAAAACTGTTTGCAGGTGAAAAAGTCAGAGAAGAATGCAATATCAGAAACACTAAGGGAATCAAGCAAGCAGAGACTCTTGAATGAGCTGACACGAGTACTTCAACTGCTCGGTGTAGAGGAGTAAAAATCTCTTGAACCCTCTTTTCAGTATTATATGTGCCTCTCTCTCTTATCTCATTTAACTGTGAATGTTATATTGCAGGATTAATTCCCAAAACGCATCTGAGCATCTTGAAAACGAGTGCTATAGAAAATATAGCAAAGCAGGGAAATCGTTTTATTACTCACAGATAGCGAGTACTGCGAGATGGTTAGGAACCGCAAGCAGAGACGATCTAATGACCCGACTTAGCTCAATGCCCAGGGAAGAAGACCCATCAGGAGAATCAATCATGGTGACTGAACCATCCCAGAACATAGAGCAAGAAGACGGAAACACATACACAAACGAGCCACAGGTCGATGAACCAACACAGCTGCTCGTGACTAGCCCGAGCCGTTCGCCTATAAGGCTCCCAGAGATTCCGTCATTCTCAGAGTTTGTGAACCGGAGAAAGATGAAGCACTCTGCTGAAGGTTCGGATGTCAAGAAACCGGCAAAGATAATGAAGCTACAGTGAAATTTGCAGCTAAGTCCTTGAAATATTTGTTTATTACAGTAACGTTCTCTCTTTTTTGCTAGTTTTGGCATATTGGCCTTCGCCTTCTGTCAAGCACCCGGTTGAATTGACTTAATTGAAACTAAACCGATATGTAAATAAAAACAAAAGACAACAGGTTTAAGAAAAAAAATATCTACAGATTCTCTCAACCTCTACTTATCCTAACGCCAAACAGCTGTATGTTCTTTCCGTGAAAAGCGCTCACTGATTTCAAAAAGCACATCTACATGTAATATTATTTCTTAATCGTATATTATATGGTTTTATAATACACGATCCGTGATCTACGCTAAGAGAGACACCTCATTGAGAAACTAGAGACTGATGAATCTACGCTTGCTCCGGCGTAAACCCTAGCGTGATCACTCTCTTGACCGTAATCCATCATCGGACGATACTCTAGATCATCGTCGTGATCGTACACAAACTCCGGCATCTCTATCTCGTTCCTCCTCACGTGTTCCCACAAGTAGTCAACTCTGCTTATGTACCTTAACTTCCCGTACAACCTACCGTAGCCAATCACCACACCAAACAAACCAATTCAGTAACCGACAAAAAAAATCTCAGTTTCTTATAACAGAAAAATCGCGACGGTTACTTACCCGCCGGAGAAGAGAAATCGACCGCAAGTAGCAAGGAAGAGACGTGATTGAAGGCCAGGGTGGAGGAAGTAAACCTCCTGGAGATTATCTCTAACGTTAACAGGAATCGCATCGTAGATCGCTCGTAGAGCTGAGATTCCGGGGAAATTCTCGCTCCTCTGTACACCGGTGTGAACGTAGAGAATGGAGAAAGGTTTTCTCCCTAAACGAGGAAAGATCTTCTCCTCTAGATAGTTCTTCAACACATTCAGTGAGAGAAACCGAGCTGATTTGAGAGAAAAAAAATTAGATTAGATGCTAACAAACAATTTGTAACAGAAAACGAGTTAGAGATCGAATTGTTTGTCAAGTACCTGGAAAGAACTTGCCGATGATTCGAAGGATCTTACGTCCTCGTTTGTCTCTACCATGGATCTTGAAGATCTCGAGCTTCTCAATCAGCTGCTCCTGTTCGATCTCCGATATCTGAGTGCTCATTGCTTCGACGGTGATAAATGATAATCAGTTGGAAAATGCGGCGAAAGAGTGTGATGAAGTGATGAATTTGTAGAGTATTCAGGAATATTCTATAGCATCTTTTAACGTGATCTTTCTCACCTCTTCGTGGGTCCTACAATCATTGCATGCTAAGTAACGAATCTCAACCCTTCATTTACTCTGCATCCAACGGCTAATGCCTTTTTGACTCTTTTCCCGCGCACCCGTAAACGTTACGTTACGTTACGCGGCGTATGTTATTGGATAAGATAAATTTTATGTTCATATCTATAGTAACAAAGATCTGCATGTTCATATCTATCAAATAGAATCTTAAAAATAATAATACTTGTATCTGCTGTGTCATGTGTGTAACCCTAATAACTCCATAAGCACATGCAAGAAAAATATTCACAGGGGGCAAGGCCATCTATGCTGTATCTTCAAGCATATATCATATGTATAATACCAAAAACATGACTTTCTAAGTATCCAGTACACCGAAACACATACATGATACATCTACACGCATATACCATTATGTATATATACAACATACATGCATGTGTGGCTCCTCAATATAAACCCTCAGTATACATACCATAATCAACTACTAGATGACTGCAGATTCTCGAGTACTAGTAGAACCTAAGAATGTTTATATGATATAAATAGTGATTCTCTGGTGATTATGGAGTTATAACTTCCTATCGCATCAATAAGCACTTTAATCACTTGTATCTGCAGAGAACGCCCTATAACTATGACCATCAAGTAAAGGTCATTTGACAGCTTCATCTAATGTCTTTTTTGCAACAATTAAAATTTTACTTAAATTGATTGGCCTCATTTGCCTGATCAAGGGTGAATCCAGACATCTCCGCTAGTTCAGCGAGTTCTACTTCTCCGCTTAAGACCTAAGCAATAAAAATAAGTGAAACAGGAGCTGACATGTGATAGGAAAAAATGTAACAAGGATCCAGAGGTTTTACTCACCTGACCATTTATCATCCATGTCGGGAATCCTTCGATCCTAGCCTCTGAACATGCCTTGTATATCTTAATTCCTTTCTTGTAGCCTTCGGGAAAACATTCCACGTAGTTCAGTACTTTCGCTGCTTCTCTTCCAAACATCTATAGAAGAGAGGGAACTTACATGAACATCATAAATCCATTAAAAAATAACTGATTTCAGGCAAACTGATGATGAATGAAGTGCATACCTCTTTTTGCTCTAGGCAGTGAGAACACCAGAACGCTCCATACATTTTAGCTCCAATTGAGTTTAGATGTTTTGCTAGAGCAACCGCATAAGGGCTTGAGGATGTAGTGATCTCTGTTGAATAGTATGGCAGTTCAATGTCACCTGAGCTGCAAGACATATTGGGGGTTAAAAGAAACCACTTGATCAGACTCATTCATCCTCGGGTTTGTAACTACTTGTTACAAAGGACTAAAAGATGCCATCACAATCAAGAAAGAGAACTTTGAACATAGATTACCGTGAAGGGATTGCTTGAGCAGTACTATAGGAAGCAGTTAAAGAGGCAACTACTATAATTGCCAAGCATACCTGCAATCCCACAACTTGCTGTATCTCTTGCAACTTCACATCCTACCACGTGAACATAAACGTAATCTGAAGTTTAAGATGTCATCTTGAGTAGAAAATCAATTAAAAATTCAAGAGAAGCCGATATAAAGGGTTACCTTTAAAGAGAGGAAAAATAGACTAAACGATAAGAAAGCAGACACTAGACAGTACATGCACGATGATCCTGAGAGTTTTGTGCTAAGGATATACAGAAAATAAGCACTAGCAGATGCCATTGACGTTGTGGCCGCAAACAACGCAAAACGCCCATTGGTCTTACTGATGCCAAAGGGTAAATTCCCTTCCCCAAGCTGTGCACTTAGAGCAGTCACTAAGCCATACATAACAAACCCAATCACTGGCAGAGGAACACCTGGAAAAAACGTAAAAAGATCGTCACTGAGTTCAGCTTTCAAACACAATACAATGCATGTGGGACAATTCAGTCAATAAGACAACTCTGCAATTGCTGAAGGCGGGGGAATAATGAAAAGACAAAGCACTACCTAGAGTAGAGTGAGGAATGCTATATTGATATTATACAAAGCTCTGAAATTTCTCTGTATTATTTCAGTGCTCCTCTTTACAAACCTACGTCTTGACTACATATACAAAACCCTAAAACTGTTAAGGAATAGTTAGAAACAATCTTAGTCCATAACTATTGTATAATATCAATATATCTCAATATGCTATTGAAGTTCTTTCTATGCATGCTAAAGTACTGAAGCTCCCCAATGAGGCAATACTATAGCTTGTAGGCTTGTAGCTCAAATTCAAGCTTATCACAATCAGATGCGAGTTATTTGAACAGGATCTAATCATGCCTATGTGATTGAATTGCTACTTAAAGAGATCATACAAATCTCATATTCTAGACTCATGACTACTGATATCCATGCAATCACAAAGGTTTATTATTGTACACTTCAGCAACGTGAATCAAACTAAAGCTATGGATAGTACCAACCAAAAACAAGGGCGTAATCACTGTTCAATACATCGCCGCAAGCACCACCACCACCAACAGGGCAAAAGGCGTCGGAGCCAGTGAGCTTGAGGTAAGTCAAATACGCAGTGTCTAACATCCCAATCCCTCCGAGTCCAGTGTACCAGCTGTAAGTTGAAGTGTCAATAGATACTTCACTTGTGGACGACGACGATGAGGAGGAAGACAGTGACGGCGCAGAATCTATAACATCTTCCGGCTTAGACGACGAGCATTTGATCGAAAACCTCCGGTGATAGACCTAATTAAGAGCATATGACTTTCAATTGACTGATCAGAGAAGAAATGCATGATCAGTGAAAAGAAGTTTTACCTCGAAGCGTCTAGGATAGAGAGTTGATGATGGAGGAGGAAGTTCACGGAAGCTGAGATGAAAGTGAGGTGACGGTACAGAGACGAAGCTCGCCATCATCGTCGTTGAACAATCGCTAACTTCACCATTTGCTATACTTCATCTTCTCCGCTTCTCACCTTCTCAGCCACTTGTTTCATTAATGGGCTTAAGGCCCATATAATTCAGTTTCACTTGGATCCATTATTAGATCAGAGTTGGGCCTATTAAGAGCCGGACGATATTATCCATCCGAGTCAGCACTACTGTTTGATTCTCACAGGTTACATAGCAGCTGACGTGACAATGTCGCACATACCATTTTGTCTTACCGGTCATCAGTGGCGTATGAGCTATAGCTCAAGCAGGAAATTTAGGACACCAAGGGAGTTTAGAATCGGACAAAAAAAAAAATGTACATGTTCTCAACACAAGTGTTTTGTTTATGTGTCTAAATTGCACTCTACCAGATAATAAGATCACTAGTTTCACACTTTCACTCTAGAAAGGCAGACCTCACAAAAAGTAATGTAGTAACAACATAATTTAATAGCCGCTCAGTGATTCTTCTCGGAAAAAAAACTTTGAAGTAGAAAAGTGAGGCTCTAGGAAAATACTCTACAGTTATAAAGAGATCCCTCACCATCAGAAACAAAAACTATACAAAGCAAGATGATAGTTGAGCTCTATTATCAAACATCAAAGAACAAATTTTCAGCAATCTACTTGAGAGAGTATATCAATGGTGGCCTTTTCTTAGACTTGAGAAGTAGCCACCACGTTTATCCTTTCGGCGCTCTTCATTTCCAACCTGGTTGTTTCAGGACATATATAATAAAACATTCACAATTGTCACACTCGCTCTGTGGTAATGGTTTTTACTTGAGAATAGAGATTGATAAAAGCAGTTACCTCATGGAGTAGTTGCTTAACCATTTCTATGATCTCTGCAAAATCAGGTCTTTGAGATGGGTCTTGTTGCCAACATTTCTCAAGAAGTTCAGTCAGTTTTGGGTGTGTTTGCTTAGGAATTTTCGGTCTAAGTCCCTGTAACAAGAACTCAGAGTCATTGTAAAAATAAAATGTATAAGTCCCTTATATAAACATACCTTTTGGACAACGCCAACAGCTGCTTGCAGTGGAGTCAAGTGAGAATATGGGAGCTGTTTTTCATTAAATGAGTTTTAGTAACTTTTATCATTCAAATCCAGAGAGAGATTAGTAAAGAGCGCTTACCTCTCCAGTCAAAAGTTCCCACAACACGATCGCATAACTGAAGACATCTGCTTTATGATCATAAGGTTTGTGCTCAATGACCTGAGTTCAGAAAAGTATATTCTCAATAACTTTTGACAGATACGTCATTAGATGCAACAAAAGAAGTTCAATACCTCTGGAGCCATCCATCGGTAAGTCCCAGTTTCAGCTGTCATGACTCCTGACTGAGTCTGCACTCTCGCAACCCCAAAATCAGCTACCTTGACCACCTGTTCAAAAAATTTACACAACATAAAAACAACCTCTATTCTATCAAAAAAAAAAATGAAGGAACGTATGTTGGAATTGAAGTGTTTAGTAGCATAACCAGCTACCAAGAGGCTGATACACAACTTGATTAGTGGCCAAAGATTGAAGCTTACTTCATGTTCATCCATAAGAAGATTAGCGGTCTTGAGGTCTCGGTGGATAATATTGTTTTGATGCAAATAGTTCATTCCTTTGGAGACGTCAAGCGCCACTTTGAGCAAAGATTGAAGTTTAAAAACGCCTTTCTGTTTGTGAAGAAAATCATATATGCTCCCTCGAGCCATGAACTCTGATACAGAATAGATCAAAATCAATCCACTATGAAAGTCAAAACTAGCAAATAAGGGAATAATCTACAAGAGCCTCATTTTCCTGCTGTGACAACTTTCTCACAAGGCATGCAGAAACAGAAGACACACATTTACCTGTCACAATGCATAGGTTTGGAGATCGAGTGCATGCACCTATAAACTGAACAACATTTTTGTGCCTTACTTTCCTGTAATAAACCATCCCCGGAGAACAATCAGCCTCTATAATATTCATGTTGGTTACTAATTACTATAAAAGTGAGAATAAACTGTTACATACCTCATTATATACACTTCTTGAGAAAACTCTCGGAGCATTTCAGCATTTACACGCTCTGGTTTTAGAATTTTGATAGCTACTTCCTGACTACAATAGGTTCCTTTAAACCTGAATAGACATACAAGAATATATCTATATATATATGTATGTATCTATAACTTTGTAATATAAACTTCCCAGCATTTTTGAATGATAAAACTCACAGTTCTCCGTATGATCCACATGCCACTTTCTTTTCAATTTTGAGCTGCTTCATGTCAATTTCCCACTCATCAGTTCCATCCGTTGGTATTTCAACACAGGCGGGTACAAGCTCGTTAGTTGACTTGTCATGCTCAAAGAAAGTAATAGACTTTTGCCTTGAGCTAGGTTGATCCTGCAGAGTGATGCAACATGTAGCAACAAAACATATAAATATTTAAAAAATGATGCAAAATATAGAAACAAAACATCAGTACAAAGTCACACTAAAGCATTACTTGCATTTTCAGTATATTTATAAAATAATACCTTAAGCTTCATTATCTCCTTCCTCAATGCATCTTTTAAACCTTCTGTTTCCTATATAGCAAAATCTCAATCAGTTTAGTGATAACATGGACATAAAGTTTAGCAATTGGGAATTATCTTGCTAAGCCATTCACTTAAGACATCAACTGCCAAGTAGTATGATGCTTTTGAACGATCATGTCCATGCAGAAAATGGAAATCATACCTCCTGCGACCAACCATCAACAACGAAAACATCCAGAGAGTAACCATCCGCAGTAGAAAAAGCATGAGCTTCTTGAATGTTCAATCCAAGTTCACCAAGCATGGAAGTTAACTAGAACATATAAGACCATTTCTCACTCAGATAATGTTATAATGAGAAAAAGAACAACCCATTCTTTACATGAAAGTCTAATGGATTGTGACTAAATTTATGAAAATAATCATACAAGACACCTTACTCCCTCTTTACCAAGCTACAAAAAAATAAGAAAACAATGAATTTACCAACCTGACTAAGGAGTTTAGGCTTGTCAATGGTTGAAAAGGTGATCTCGTGCATCGGTCTATAAGATAAGGCAACAAAGGACAACATCACCACACATGGTTGTGAATATCAGGCTAACACGAGAGAGAGACCACGATTCCAGACAAGACTGGAGCAACTTAGATACTAAACTTTCAGAAGAGACTCTTACCGAGAATTAGGCAACTGCGCATTGACAGCACTATCATCATCATCTTCAGCATGATGTTTATAAGCTTGCGTAAGAGCCTCAAAAGTTGGAGAAGACCCAAAAGTTGGAGGTGCAAGAACCCTTTAAACAAAAAAGTAACAAAACAGTCATAAAGGAGAAAAGTCAAGCAAAAAATCAGCCAGAACTTTATTTTTGCCTGCTAGAGTGGTATGAGCTTTGAGCATCTTCCTTAACAGCAGGATCTGAAGTATCAGCCTCAGCAGAATGTCCATTCAGTGAGGGAGAAACCTGTAATAAACACCAACACAAGTAAGTGAAAGGTTTCAACTAAGCATACTTAAAAAAAAAAAGACAGTGGCAGCAGATATGATTTGGGATTGTGAGATAACAAACTAAGTCACACATTGGAGAAGTCTAATATATAAAGAGATGTCCAACTCTAATACTCTAATAGTACAAGGTCAAAAGATGGAAACCAAAAGTAAATTCATGCGGATTTGTCTATTTGTTAGGCCAAAGTAGACAATATTGTACTAATGGGTGAATATAGAGTTGGACATGGGCTTTCACAATTCCAACAGGGATTTGTCTATTTGTTAGGCCAAAGTAGACAATATCGTACTAATGGGTGAATATAGAGTTGGACATGGGCTTTCACAATTCCAACAGGGATTACCTGTACACAACGAACTTCAAAAATAGGTCTAGTAGCAGGATCTTCAGCTAACTTGAGCAATCTCTGATGATTGAGTACATCTTCTGCTCTCTCAACATTTACATCCATAGCATATCTTCAGACCAAACTCACACAAAGTAAAAAAAAAAACAGATTACAAATCCTCAGAACTTATCATCATTTGATCCAAAAAAAAAGTTTTTAAAAAAGTTACCGAGCAGGGAGACGATTGAAATGGAGCCAGAGCTGATCATCAAAGTCAGGGAAGTTAGCTTCTTCGTAGTTAGACTCTTGGATTCTCTGTAGAACATCACCGTACACCTCCAGTTTCATACGTTGCTGCCTAGGGTTCTCCTTAGTAACCGAAGCAGCAGCTCTGCTTCCACAACTCTCCTCCGTCTCATCTTTAATCGCCATGTGATCAGAAAAAGTAAAAAAAGACTTACGATCTCTTTGATCCAAAAAGTAGCTAAAAGGTGGATGAGGAGGATGATCCAAGATTCAAATAAAGGTAAGGAGAGACAGAAGAGAGAGAGAGAGAAGGGATGTGTTTCGAGTTCGGTTGAAAGCCAGGGAGGACATGAACGTTTGGTTGTGGTACACGTATGAAACTATCCACGTCATCATGTGGTGTCCATGTAAGACGACTAGTAGTAGTAGGTCACGAGATTCTCTGTCTTTTTTTTTATTTTTTAAATTTCTAAATGGATAATGAACAGTGTTTTACTTTATTGTTTTTCAGAAAATCAGACAAAGATGGATGGTAGTGATGATGTATACAGAGAAGAAAAGGAGATGATGTTTACTTGTTTAGTGTATTTTTTTATGATGTTTAGTGCAAGTTGTTCAAACACTATCATATATTTAATCTTCTTCTAGGTATTGAGTTGATATTTGAATTAAACTTTTACCAAAAACAAAAAAAAAGCCTGTATTAATATGTGGAATGTTGGACCCTCTATCGCCTGAGATCATCCTCTAGCGCCCGAGATCGAAGATCGTTATAAGTGAACCACATAGTGACATTCTGACAACATTTTTGTTCGCTTCACTCTCTAGTCTAGACCATTTCAATAGAATTAGGATACTCAGTTAGCAAAAAAAAAAGTATTAATTTATATACACACGTATAAAATGATTTATCTGTGTATAAATTTCTTTGGCTATCTTATTGAAATAATTCAATAACATTAAATTTACATATGTTCTTTAACTTCTTGATTTCTGAATTACTTCATCCATTTCATATTAAGTGTCGTTGTAGAGAATTTTTTTCGTTACAAAATAAGTGTCATTTTCTAATTTTCGGTTTTCAATAGAAAAATTATTAATTTTATTATGTAATTTGTTTTTCTATTGGTTAAAATGTGGTTCGGTGTATAGGTAAAATTTGTTTTATATGAAATATGTAAAATTAATTGTTTCTTTAATCTGTATGCACAATTCTAAATGACACTTATAATGAAACAGATGGAGTATCTTATTACAGTTGTCTTATCCATAAAAGCGCCAAACAAGAAGAGATTGATCAAAAAAAAAGATTTCGTTGATTCAGATTTTATTTGATGGATATAATTAGAAGGTTTAGTTGATTGGCTGACAATGATGAAATGAAGAGAGGCTGATCATTAAGATAACCTTTAATTTTCAATCCTAACACAGCGAAGGCATATTCGTTTAGGGGCGTGAGGCCCATATCGGCTTGGTGTGACAACCAACAAGCCAACAAGTTTACAAATAACATAAAACTTCATTACACTCCTTTAAGTCTTAACACAAGTAACAAAAGTGCTGACAATCACTAAGTTAAGATATATAATGGCCGCACACACACAACAAAAAAGTGATTAAATAAATGAATTAAAACATTATGAGACCTTTTTTTTGTCGAGAAAGAACAAAAACAAGTGAGGAATAATATTACACAGCTGTGAAAAGAACCCTGCTGAAGTGGCCAAAACTAATCAACTATTCAATGATTGGTCACTGATTTTCTTCCTCTAGATACTTTTATTCCCTTCTGACCTTTTTTACCACGCCGTTAGTCTCGTCGGGTACGCTAAAAAGTAAAAACCACCTGAGCTGCGTTTTCTTTGGGTTGGTTGGTCCAATAAAAAATTTAATAACGAGATCCAAAAATAATAACAATGTTATGTTTCTTTCTCACTTTGATACAATGCTTGTTATTCATTATTACAATGATAAGCTGTTATACGTTTCCTTGCAACATTATATCTGACTTACCATCCACAATAACTATTTGAATCGTAAAGATAACATCACAAATGAATATGGCTATATGCAAGAGGAGTTACTCTGATGTTAGTACGTGACAATAGGTATCTCCTGTATGGTAATGTATATACACATCTGGTATCTACTCTCTCGGATCTTTTCGACCACGAGATGAATGATGGTCGCGCATTGGTAAGACCTCTGGTTTCCATTCAAGTTCCTTGTCCGGAACTATTGGGGGTAGGTCGCCCCAGACACTTGCTTCATCCTCAGCCCTGTCAATCAATACAGAAACATATGAGAAACAAAACAAAAAAAGGGCTGCAAAGAGTACAGTTAACGAAAGATGATGTACCCATAAACTTCCAAATTACAGTGACACAAGAAACACATAAAACTCAACGCAATAACTAACCTTAAACGGCTTGCTGGAGATATAGACTTTGTCAAAGATCTTGACCTAGATCTAGGTCTGGATTCGGACCTGGACCTTGGTCTGGATTCAGACCTGGGCTGTTCTTTTCCGGGTGCAGGAGAGGTTAAGCCCCTGATGCAGAAATATCAAGCAAAATACGGTGCTTCTGTTTCAAACAAATTACTTGCAAACAATCTCAAGAGTGTAATTATTCACTGCACTGTCTTCTGCAAAACCATTACTGTGACTCCAACAGAATCTCTCTTTTACTATTTTAAAGATGATGATGATCAATCACAAGTTCACAACTCAAAGAAATTCTTGAATTCCTTTTTTTCAAGACACCTAAAAAGGTCATTTCGAGCCACGGGGTTGATACCTTTGCTCTGGGCTCCTACCACCACGAGGTGAATGGTCGTCTCTTGGTGACTCCCTTCCATCACGAGGTGAATCGTGGCGTTTTGGTGACCAACGGTCGTGCTTCCATCCTCCATCTCGGTCTTTTTCTACAACAGAAAAAAAAAGAGTACAGAACAGTTAGAAACCTTTTCATTTTTTCAAGGAACTCGACATAACTTTTTAATAGAGGCTTAAAGTGTTCACTTACCATTGTCTTTGGAGTTCAAGCCAAGATAGTAGCCTGGGGTGGGAGTTCTCGGGAGCTTCCGTCGAGACTTGAAGATAACAATTCAAAGTACATCAAGCTCATGTAATGGACACAAACTACAAGTTACGAAAAAGCCACTGTATGAATCATCCTAGGCTGAACTGAAGAACACTTGACTCATAGTTGCTTATGATTAATTGGATCAGATCCTTTGGAAGGATCAAACTGTGTTTCACTTAATGATTGTTGCCAACACTTACACGCAATATTTTCAATATACTTATTGTATCACCACTAGAATCAGTAGAGCATGAACTTTTGTTACCTTTTTGACAGTTATTTTTATGCCATCTAATACAGTTTTGTTGAGATACTTAATGCAACGCTCAGCATCTTCAAGACTATCCATTGTAACAAAGGCATAACCACGAGACTCACGGGTCTGCGGCTCCACCACTAAAACGCAGGACGCAACCTGTGGTAATGAAAATCACTTAACAACATGTGTATCCATGATTCTATGCTTAAAAAACGCAGAGACGAAACTTATTAATGAGGAAGAGAGATGTTTATCACCTTTCCTTCTTCGGAGAAATGTGCTTCAAGATCCTTTTCTGTAACTCTTGTGGATAAGCCGGTCACAAAGAGAGTGGTACCAGGGTTTTCAATTTCAGACCTATTAATCAAATATCATTTAGACAAAAAGAAAGAAAAAAAAGAAACCTAAATTTGCAGACTCAGACGGGAAAAGAGAGCTAAAGCTAACCTTCCACGGCTTCCAAGTTATAGTGACATAACAAACCCATAAACTTAACGCAATAACTAACCTCCCACGGCTTCTTGATGGAGATATAGGCCTTGGCAAAGATCTTGACCGAGACCTATCCCTCGACATGGACCTGGATTTGGGTCTGATTATCAAGGACCTGAGTTGTGCTTTTCGTGGTGGAGGAGATGGTGTGACCCTGTTGCAGTAATCAAGCACAATACAGTACAAAACTGTGCTTCTTTTTCAAACAAATTACTTTTGCAAACAATCTCAAGATCATAATCAGATGGAAATTATAATTCACTCAAAAGAACAAAGTAGCATACATTGTAAGTTTCACTTTCACTGTGTTCTTCATCATACATAAGAGAAATAGACACACATAAAAGTAATAACTATCCCCAAACAGAATCTCTGTACTATTTAAAGATGAAAATGATCAATCATACAATCTAAATAAACATAGAAGTTCATAAATTCCTTCGTCAAGAGACCTAAACCGGTCATCTTGAGCCACGGGGTTGATACCTTCTCTCTGGGCTTCTTCCACGAGGAGAGTAAGACCTATCTCTTCTAGAGCTTCTTCCAGCACGAGGTGACCTCCTTCCATGATCACGAGGTGAAACGTCACGTCTCGGTGACCTACGGTATCCAGAATCATCACGATCATAATGCCTCCCTCGACTGCTACGGCTATCTCGGTCTTTTCCACAACAGAAAAGAAAATGCACAACAGTTAGAAACTCTTTCATTTCTTAACGAACTCAAAATAACTTTTAATATTCACTTACCATTGTCTCTGGGGTTTTTCAAGCCAAGATAGTGGCCTGGGGTTGGAGTTCTCGGGCGCTTTCTTCGGGACTGAAGATGACACAAAGTACATAAAACTCATGTAAATCAGACGCATACTCCAAGTTACAAAAAGCCACTGTATACTCAAAGGAAACAGGATGAATCTAGGCTGAACTGAAGAACACTTGACTAATAGTTGTTGATACTTGATAATGTCCTTTGATTACTTGAGAGTTGAGGCAATATAGTTGCTTATGATTAGTTGGAATGAGCAAGTTGTGTTCACTTAATATGATGTTGGGTAAGGATGAGAATCATCTCTGATTGTTGCCAACATTTAGCTTGACGCAATATTTTCTGAATGGTCAGAAAACCTCCAGGTTATTAAGTTAAACAAAACAAAGGCAATCAAACTTATATCGTATAGCCACCAAAAAAAAAACAGATAGAGCGTGAACTTTAGTTACCCTTTCGACTTTTATGTATCGGCCTTCTAGTACAGATTGGTTGAGATACTTAATGCACCGGTCAGCGTCTTTAACACTATCCATCGTGATAAAGGCAAAACCGCGAGACTCACGAGTGCGCGGCTCCAACACTAGAACGCAGGACGCAACCTGTGGGAATGAAAATCACTTAACAACATGAGTAAAGGCGGGACGTATGCTAAGAATCAGAGTTTATATGTTTTTATCAACCTTTCCTTCCTTGGAGAAATGTGCTTCAAGATCCTTCTCTGTGACTCTTGTGGATAGGCCAGTCACATAGAGCGTGGTACCAGGATTTTCGATTTCGGACCTATCAATCAAACATCATTTAGACAAAAAAAAGAAGAAACCAAAATTTGCAGACTGATACGAGGAAAGAAAGCTAGAGGTAACCAACCTTCCACGGCTTCTTGACCTAGACCTAGAAGGTGTACAGTAAACAAAATACGATTACCAATAAGCTTCCAAAGTATAGTAACATAAGAAACCCATAAACTCAACGCAATAACTAACCTCCCACGGGTTCTTGATGGAGATATATGCCTTGGCAAAGATCTTGACCTAGACCTATCTCTCGCTATAGACCTGGACCTAGATCTTCGTTGTTCATTCCGGGGTGAAGGAGATCGTGAGTCCCTAATAGCAGAAATCAAGTAAAGGGTTACACAAATGTGTTTAGCTGTAACACTTGCCAATAAAGGCCTCTCTCTTACCTCAAATAATCATCTAGCTAAGTTACAAGGCATCACCAACACACAAAAATTCAAATAACTAGATCTTTAAAAAAGTCCAAATCTCGAAATATTTTTAGATCCTAACGAAAGTAATGCAATTAACCACTGTATGAAGGCGTAAAACAAGAAAGATAACGGATTTATAGTGAACAGATATTTGAATATCTAACCTTTCTTCGTTAGGAGAATCCGCCTGCAAAAAAAACATTGCAATTTGCCTCAATTACAAGCAAACGAAGATCAAGAAAGAAGATAACGATTGATGGAGAGTACTACAGAGCTATACCATTGCCAAAGAAACGAGTAGAGAGAAGAACTCTCAGGTTGCGATCGAGACGGAGAGGTGATTAGGGTTTTTACTGTAAAATTCAGCTTTTTCGTTTCTCTTCCCTCTGAATCTTCGAATTTTTTTATCATACGATTAATAATCATCTGTGGCAACACTCACGTTAACTATGGTGCATTCCGCAACAAAATTGGTAATCAGTCCGGTTTGGTCTGACTCATTTATTTTCGCCCGGTTCGGTTTAGTTATCCGTATTTTCGTTTGTATACCGGAAATCGTCGTGCGTGAACAGAATTAAAACATGGATCAGCATATGCAGCGTCCGGTTTGGTTTGGTTAAATGTAACCGGAATATAACCTCGAATTAGAATCCAGAAGAAAGAAAAAAGCAGATGACTATTTTGCCTCCACACTTTCTCTACGTTTTGCAACCCCAGACAACTGACAAACGAATAAATAAAAACACAGTTTTTTTTTTTTTGAACAAAACAACACAGTTAAAATGTACAATACTTTCAGATTTCAATTACATTATGTGGTTAGAGTATTAGGAAGAGCCACGAAACGAGCTCCTAGACCTATTTAATTTTCAAATGTTAACTATTTTATTTTTGAAACACAACTTGCATAAATTCATAAACTCAAAGGTAGGTGTTGATAGATGTTGTATATTTACCAGCCTTGCATTATTATTTATTTCAGAATACAAAATGTATTCACATATTTACTTATTATTTATTTTACTATACATTTTTCAGATATATTTTTAATTT